TTTTTGGATGACTTTTTAGCATTATTTTTTGAAGCTATTATTTTAAAAGGCAACAACTTGCAAGCTTGTCATGATTAAATGACTTTTAGTCAGTTGTTGGTATTGTTAGAGGCTCGGCAGCTGCTGACTTGTGCTGAGCATGATAGGGATATACGGACTCAAACCTCAGCTGATCATTCTCTTGCAGCTCACTTCTGGCCTCACCATACATAATTGGAGAGCTTGCTCGCAGGCAAGATTTGGGACGAGGTGTAGTTTACTGAGCTTATCGAGTCCCAAGATATACTCATTTAAAAAGTAAGAAGGGGTTCTCCTCATTTTTGGGGGGGAGGGGAGAGTGAGGCACTGCTTATGAAGTTGTGTCCCACTATTGGCTGGACAAGACAGGGCTGTTCACCCCCCACGTTATTGAATATTGAGCATTGATAAGGAAGAAATGATAGATGACGTCATATCGCACGACAAATGAAGTCATTTGTGCAAAAAAAGTTCGTTGATTCCAATCGACGTATATAGCACATAAACAGTTCACATTTAGCCACATTATTGCTTAAATTACAGTGGCATACCACAATTTATGGGGAAACGTTCCATGCTAACAGTAGCTCAAACAATACAAAGTATTTGAAATTTTGTGGTCGGAAAGTCGAGTCTACAAGAAATAGCAACTTTGGAGATTATCCGGGAGATATCAGACTCTAATCTGGGGACCAGGAGGTATGGTCCAAAATCTGGAGTCTCCCGGATTATATGAGAGAGTTGACAACATTGAGAAGAGGACCGACGAAGCAGCTCTTTGCTTTAGATTTTTTTAAAAAACTTCTCTACAAACAGTTAGAATTCATTAAAATTAAGTCTAATTATTGGTCACTAATTTTCCTTTAACATTCAAGCAGATAACAATTTGAACAAAATAAATGGGAAAAAGACAGAAAATAAATAAATGAAAAAAAAAGACAAAGTCCACAAAAGGACTACAATGTCAATTATTTCACACGAAGGTTGCCTGCCTTTTGGTCCTTCATCCCCATCTGCCCATCTCTTACTTGCCCTTTATTTAGAGGCTCAACAAAGCAGCTCTTTGCTTTAGACACAGTCCCTTTAATTAACCCCCTGGAAAGTTCACCTAGCTGGTAACTCTGAAAAATTGACCCAGTTGAAAAATCACAAACCAATTGAAAGAACAAGAATTGAAATCACCAGTAAAATTGCTGTTGTTGTAACTGTAGTCATTGCGTAAGGTTTTTGTCATCGACCTCTTCCCCCAAAATCCCAAGAGGCCTGGCTACTAAGCACACAAATAAGATAATTATTTGCTATTAGTATATACACACTCAGTGATCTTGGTGATTTAAGCAATCTGATTGGTTCGCTATCTCGGACTATTCAACAATATTCACCTCCTAGCGAGTGGATAATGTGTGAGCTCAGTGTTTTTCCCATTTTTTAGAGAACGATCTTTTAAAAGTCGACAGAATCCTAGGGCTGACTTTTTTTAAGGCAAGAAAAGACTTGGAAGGATTCAATACGGCGTTTTTCAATTTACTGTAGCACTCAGTAGTAGCAGGAGTTTTGTGCTCGATGGATTGTTTACAACTCCCGTGTATTCGCGTAGAAGAAGCCGTTTCCGTTTTCTAAGAAGACAATTTTGGCTCAAAAATCGAAGTTTATTTATGACAAACAAATTTAAAAGGAAATGTTTGCAGAAATTCTACGTTTCAAGTAAACAGGAAAAAGAATGATACAGAAAGACGACGTCTTACCTCGAGCAAATGAGCCGCCATTTTTGTCAGCACTTCATGCGAAGAACGACACAACAAACCCTTTTGGCTATAAACGTGGCGAGTCAACAGAAAACAACACAGCTCTACTTTTCTTCTCAGGTAAGGAAACAGTTCAAACTTTTAGCGGTTCCATTTAAGCCATTACGCTGTTGTTTGCGAAATGATAAACTTGTGAATTGCCATGCCTTGAAATTTCTGCAAAGATCTATTTTTAAACTTACGCGTGATTTGATCTGTCAATCAAATCGTACTTTTGAATGGTTTCCTCTCTGATTTTGTTGAGATCACTTCATGTGTATATACTAAAACAATTATTCTTTTCAATCTCGGTGAATAGTGGCTTTGGGAATATTTACCTCGCCGCTTTCGCGTCTCGGTAAATATTTTGCCACTATTCACCTCGATTTCAAAGAATAATTGTTAATTGTAACACTTTTAATTTTTAAAATTTTATAAAGCCAATTTGCAAATAAAGCCTTTAAACACTATTGGATACGCAACGGAATCCCCTTAAATTCAAAGCGTTGAGACTTAAAAAAGGGGGAGATTGAATTATTGAAAGAGTTTCACATAAGCTTTAAGCCTTACAAGCTCACCAACTTCTACTTCTACTATATTACTTCGCAAAGCCTGTACAGCATCACGCAAATGACAAATGTAACGTAAACCATTACCACAAGTACTTCTAACACTTCTTAAAAAGATACCTTCTACAGTTCTTACTGTTTGATCCACCTATAATCGCTACTAACCTTGGAAAATAGATGAAAAACGAGAGAAAAACCAACCATGCCTTCAGCCTTCCACGCGCCATCTTTGATTTTGTGCTTTTTAGTTCCCAGTGCCCCAAATCGTCCACAATGCGCGGCCTCTTTGCTCCTTGCCGAAATATAGGGCCTCGGCGGGAGCATGTGTTTGCTGCTAAAAAAACGTAGACTTTCTACTCTTCTGCGACTTTGTCGCCCTGAACTATAAAAAAACACCGAAATAAATGCAATAAAATTTAAGCGGAGTTATTTTGACAAAATAGACTGAAACACATGGACTCCAGATTGGGGTGTAAATGAAACAAACGGTTGGAAATAGTTAGCGCTGACTCATTCTCAGGTGTTTTTCTTTTTTCTCTTTTTTTAGCTTTATTCAAAATTGTGAATTAGTTGTGTCAACGAAGGTAAAAGACCTTTATTTTTTTCCTTATCATTTTGACTTTGCAACTGAGTCAAACTAAAAGACGCCATGCATGTTAGTTGTAAGGAGCCGCTTTTAAACCAGTTATTGGATCCTACAAAATCATATCTTTAGAGATTCGGTCATTTCAGTCTTTTTTGTTTTACCCTATTTTTTACAACGTATTTATTCGAAGAAGCGCCATGGTGATTATTAAATTGTTTGTACCTAAAATGCGCTGCTTGTTTCACGGTGGGCGGCGCTTATTTGAAAGATGGACACTTGTTTTCACCAGGGTGATATTACATACCTCTTACTAACCGAGTTCGAGGTCCGTACTGTAAGTTACCGACCGAGTATTTTCCAGTTGACCAATCACAGCGCGCGTACTAACTAAGAGATATAATAAAACATCGTACCTCGGTTGGGTGATATTTCCCGAATTTGTAGTGACTTTTCGCGACTCCCGCAAATGGAGAGCTTGCTCGCAGGCTAGCCATCCCAAATCGAATAATCTCTACCTGAATCTTGGGTCTTATTGGCGTGTTCAGAGCAGCTGAAGTTTGAGTTCGTATATCCCTATCGTGATCTTTAATCAGTTCATGCACAGCACAAGACTAGCTACTGAGCCTAATAATACCAACAACTGATGCCGGATTTCGATCGAGACCCACCTACCAGGAGCAAGGTTCCTAATTCAGCAGTTACTACCAACCCCGAAGATGTCTAACTCAGTCTTGCTCATTCCTAAAATGTTTTTATTTATTCCACAATTATTGGTCTCGGATCCATTAAATCTTATACTAATGGAGAAGAGAAGTCGTTACGTCTTGTTACCATGGTAGCGTAATCTCTGGATATCAACAAACCGTGGTCTTGCAAATATGACAGAGAAAACAAAAAAAAATGTATGTTTGACTTTCCTGAGCGTGATTGCACTCAGGGACAAAAAAGTAGCTCATGTTTTTCTTCCATCTTTCAATAGTAAAGATGGCTGTTTCCTTCAAGAAAGGTTGTTAATATTCGGAAATTTAGCTGCCATGGTAACGTGACGTCACATGTCTCTCTATTGTAGATGGGGCCAATCATATTTCTTTTTTAAATCAGACACATCTCTTGAGCAGACACCTGGAGTTGGTTACTTCTTATTCCTCAGTCATTTTCTTGCGATCCCTGCGACACGGACATCTTCCCGCCGATCTTCAGTCGCTTTTTGTGAATCTCGTTAAAGGCGGACACCTTCCAGGCTCCTGATCCATTTTACGTACTTACAAGTTTACGGTTATAACATGCGTATCCAGTTCAAATAGTATAAAGTAGGTACACGAAGCTGTCTTTGTAACACAAAAACTCGAGTTACGAATAGCCCCCAGCACAGACTTGGAGATTTTGCTCCCAGCCTGAGAAATATGGGGCTTCCACGACAATGACTTATCAAAGACATCTAAAATAACACCAAGAAAACTAACTTCTTTAAACTTGGATTATCTTAAGACCATTCATCTCTATATTTAAGGTGGGTTCATCTCTTCTCTGCCTGGATTTAAAATTATGTAATTTGACTTTTTTATATTTTGGCTTTAAATCAATCAGATAACTTGAGCATTTCAGAGGTTTTCAAGTTCATTAATGGAGTAAAGCCAATATGAGAATAGAATAAATTGGTATAATTAGCAAATAAAACCAGGTCATAGATATTTAAAATCTGACACAAATCATTGATATAAATTTTAAAGAATAAGGGACAGAGGACAGACCCCTGGAGAACTTAACAAAACAATTCACGAAATGAAGACGAGATACTATTAAATTAAATTCCACTTTCATTATTATTTTGTTGTTGATGATAATACTTATCATTGGATTGACTTGTTCTATTTTACTCTTATCCAATGAAGGTGGTGGTAGTTGCAGTGATAATTTTAGTGGTAGTGTTGTAGTGTTTTTGCTTTATTTTCATGATCTTAAGTTTTTATACTATTGCGACCAAAATAAATACAGTTAATTAGTGTATTACTTCATTGATTTTATTTGATTACATTAAAGAAGTCTGCCATTAACCTTTAGGAACACATTGGTAGCCTTGACTCTCAGACGCGGTCGACAAACTTGATCTTAACCGGTTTATCTGGAGCCGTTAACAACTTTTGACGCATTTCTAATGGTTCGTGATGATACTCTAGGCGAAATCTCTGAAGTAACTGCAACAACAAGAGAGCATGAAAGATTAGGAGAAAAAAAACTGAAATTGCAAATTATTACTAGTACATCTGTGCGAATTGCGAACTGTGTTGCCGTCTGGTCCACGGCACCCTTGGTATAAAAACAATTTGTAACGGAAACACCGTGTGATGTTAGCCGTTCTTGTTAGACTCAAAAAACCGACCCGCCCGGGTCTCCGCCCGGAAAAAACAATTTGTAACGGAAACGCCGTGCGATGATAGCCGTGGGAAATCTCCGGGGACCATTTATTATGGTGTTGACAATTGCTTCCAGCGGAGCTTACCGCGTGCAGGTTGTGTTGTCTCCGACGTGGGCAATAGGGCGTTATCTCGTGACGTCACTGCGGCCATGTTTGCTCTCTTTTCTAACTTAAAAACTAACTTAAAAACACTAACCTTGCATACAAGCACGTACATCTCTAATTCAGCCACTCGACGACCTGTAGAAAAAGTGTAACATTTTAGCGCTTAGTACTGAAGGTAAACCGCACAGATGACGACAATAATCCACCTTCGAAAAAAAATAACAATAGGAAACATAATAATCAGGTTGGTTTCCTAGATAATTCTTTGCTTAATTGATTCTCGGGTGAATTTGAGAAAATCTTTCCAAAACGCAAGAGTTGGTTTCGCGCGTCACACACTTATATCCCGGCTGATTTCGCCTCGTTTTGTAATTTTTACTAATTTACTCATTTGTTCTTCAAGAGATGGCACGGTTTGGACACTAAACGTCCAGAACTGAACGCACTTATCTTTAACTTTGGGTACTTTATTTTAGACAAGATTATTTGTAATTTCCGCATGTCTTCATGTTTGCAATTGACAACATTACTAGTGTTTAAGCTAGGATCTGGGATAGGAGACACTTCGTGATGTCTGTCATACGGAATATGATTCTCTTTAATTAACGTAAGTGGCGCTAGATAAAACACATAAAAAAACAAATTAGCAGGGATCTGGTGTTAATTATTACCAAGACACATGCGAGGCCCAAATCCAAACTGTAGGTGAGAAAAGGGATGAACCTTTTTACTTTCTCTAAGCCAGCGTTCCGGCTTGAACTCCAAAGGCTCTTTAAAGTACTTCTCTGAGCGAGTTGTGGCGTAAAATTCCATTGTTACGTAGGTCTGCAAAAAAATTATTCTGCATGAAATATGAAGTAGGTAAGTCAGCAAAAACAAAATAACGGCTGCAAAGTGTTGGGATAAATTATCTTGTAAACTGTGCAAAAGAAACTAGTTACCCAAACTCGTTTCAGCTACACTGTGACATTGGACGCAGTGAACATGTTTCGTTTTAGTGAAAGAATGAAAGATGGTAAATGCATGATTACTACATGCTGATTATATCATTTTCTCATATGTTTCGTAAAGGAGCTGGGAGAAAGGGGAGAGAATTTTCTGATAAGGCAACGAGAGAAATTTTGTCAGCATATCCAGAGTTTTCATTTAAGAGCAGTCTTTTCTGGTTTGCTCCAAGGATTCTTGCCATCACTTGTGCTGCAAGGTTTATGGATTCCAAAAGAAAGCTTTGGTGAAGCCTTTGTCTAATGCACAACAGCGCTTCCAAGAGACAAGTCTTAGGGTTGAGACTTCAACCTTGGGATTTCTTACTCACTTTTGCTGGAACATGGTATCCAGATAAAACAACGTCCTGGTCCAAAACTCTTGTAAGGGACGGACTACTTGGAGTCATCCTAATATAATAAAAAAGTAGAAATTGTAATATATAGATTTAGCCAAGGTCAAAAGCGAAGCTCTTGTGGTATCTTTTGAGAAACATCTTTTTGCAGTAATTCTGGGTGAATGTACGTTGTCACAACCAAAGTTTCTTAGATGCATAGATAATCAAATTTCAGTACCCATGGTGCTCCGCAAGCGCGCGCACTAGAGCTCCACTACGAATTATGAAGCCCGCCGGCAAGGAAGGCGTACCCTACTAGTCATAATCATTGATTATGGACCCGCGTTCGTCTCTGTATTCTACGAGCATGACATCTGCTAGCCTGGGACCAGGCTCCGCATTGGGGGAAAAAGGAAAAAATCGCCGTAGTCTCGGAAGGGGTAAGGGTGGCCCAGACTTCCGCCGGGCTCGCTTCGCTCACCGATATTTTTCCTATTTGACCCCATTTTTTTTCCTTTTTTCCCCACTGCGGAGCCTGGTCCCTGGCTAGCCATCTGCATAAAAACGAGACTAAAGGAAACGAAAACGAGTCCAAAGAAGTCCAGTTTCCTGCCGCCGAGATGCCCCTGATACAATATATAGGGCTGGCTCAGATCGGCAGTCGCCCGTGATAGCTCGAAAATTTCTGCCTTTGTACCACAGGAACACCAGATTAGGAAGTGTGTTCTAGTGAACGCGATAATAACAAGGGTCGGATCCAAGGGGCGGTGAGGGTGCACCACTAAGAATGTGGCGTAACTGACTGGTAAATTGTAAACAAATTTACAAGCGAATACGAAGAAGGCTTTTGATTAGGCGATAGCATAATGTGAACTTCAGAGAATACATATCATACATATCTGCATATTTTGCAAAGTACCAATTGTCAGAAGCCCTCTCAGGGGGGGGGGGGACTTGGTGGGTGGGGTGCACCCCCTACACCCTCCCCCTAGATCCGCCCTTGATAGTTCACACATCTCTAAAATATAGTGTGGTTGAACTGTTTTACCTCATGGACTCTTTAAGACAAGCTTTAAGATAGCTTAGTTTAGCAAGATGCTTGGGAGTGACGTCATCATCTTCCCCCAAAACACTTTCTATCTCCTGGTACAGCTTTTCTTGGACCTCCGGAAATCGTGCTAAGTTGTACAACCACCACAAAACAGAATTTGATATCTGCTCAGATAGGAGACAAAATTTTTCTTAGTTATGATATATAAATGTATATGTTGTATATGTAAATCTCCCTTTTTTAGCCAGTCTGCTAAAATTGGAATGTTTACTTTAACTGTCCTTCCTAGACAACCTCGCTCCCCGGTCCGTGAGTTGGACTCGTACTACTGTAGCTTGCCACCCCTGATCAAAGCGAGGTTCCCACAGCAGTCATAAGAGTTCCGAAACCTAATTATCCAGACTGAGATGAATTCTGTTTGGTTTCCAAGTACCGATACTTCGGGACTTTTAAGAAACCTCCCTACCCAGGGGGAGACGGACGTTCCCCGCTATGTTCGAAGGGTCACGAGAGGGGGAGGGGGTATTTAATAAAATGACTACAGCCTCGTAATAATACCTGTTGTCTTTTCTTATAGTCCAGTCATCTTCATTTTTCTAATTTTGAAATTTTGCTCCACCCTCTCAATCAAATGAATTAAATGGAAGAGTTTCTTACCGTATCAACACCACCAGCGACAACATCAACTACGTGTCCATTGACCTCCTCTGGGGTAAGATCTTTCTTCATGAGTAAATAAGTCAACAGCGGAACAACTACATTACAGAAATAAAACAATGTTTTATCCATAGACCTTTCCCAAGTAGGTTGACTATGATGTTCCGGGTGAACGTAGCCCACAATAGGACTGTTGTTGATCGCAGTGACTTGCGGTAGTCATTTTCATAGTCAAAGTGAGTAGTATCATGTCAGTTGATAATAAACTCTGACTGGTTATTGACCTGATTGGTCAATTATGTTAAGTAGCAATGTTCGTCGATGTTGGTCGTCTGTCAGTTAAGCCGTGATGTTATTGGCTATATGAAGACTGGTAATGTCATTAGTGCGTTTCGATCCTTCTAATAGGGACTTAAAGATCCAACGACGCGACGGCAATGACAACGTCGCTTAAAAAGTGAATTTGCGTTCTTTCATTCTTTATCGCAATTATTTCTACCCAGGTACTTTGTCAAATGTAGGCAAACCCTCCTGGAGTTGAATTCCTAGGCACCATACACAAGTACAGAAAAAGAAATAAAATTTCGTCGTTGCTTGTTTACGTCCTCCATAAAACGCGAAATTAGGCATGTTCACGTCGTAGTCGTGAAAAAACGGGCAGAGAAATGTACAGAAAAGCTTGATGCACGTGCAAAGTTGTTGTTTTGCTAATAAAACCTATAGTTTTTTGACGTTCTCGTTACCGTCCATGTCGTTGGATCTTAAAGTCCCTGTTGTCAAAGTTAAACAATCGTCTATTGTCAGTCAAATTGTCAGTTCTCCAGACGTTCTCTCGTGGTTAGTTTTGCTTGATCCCGTCAATAAGTCGTTTGTACGGTGTCGGTAACCGTGTTGACTACGACCTCTCCCAAATCAATCATATACCCAGGTATCACTATCTTTTACTCCTCTTACGCTGAAACGGGGATCTGGGTTTCGATTATTATTTTCTGACGTACAGGCTCGATCTTGCCTGGGTGTAGTGACCAACTCATATAATTAGCAATTAATAAATGAGGCTGAGTAGGATATGAAGAATTATGCCTTCGGCCTCGGTGGACAACACCCTCCTCGATCTGCATAATTCTTTATATCCAACGAAAGCCGAATTCATTAAATGCTTTATTATTCATTCAAAATAATTCCTCGTTTAAAAACAAGCTAAAACATGCTTACCTTCGTCGATGTTAAGTTCACCTCGATAGTGCATGTTTAGAAGATAAAGGGGTAATCAGGTGTGTTCAGGTGTGCTTTTAGCCAATCAGAAACGGAGAAATATTTTGAATGAATAATAATGCTTGATAACAGGGGCGTAGCCAGGATTTTTCAAAGGGGGGGGGTCACAGAGGCTACTCACCAGATTGTCATGTCGTATTATCGCGGTATGAAGGCCCATATTAACTAAAGACAGGAGCCGTTGACGAAAATACTTTACAAAAAAACAAATTTAAAAAAAGTGGGCTTCCCAACAATGGCTTTTACGGCCAAGATATTGTCATGGCGTTTTCGTTTGCTCAAAAGAAGGCCTCAGGACCCCCCCACCTACCTACGCCCCTGGATAATGCACCCCCTATTCGTGTGGCCGTAGCTTGTCTTGCAAGCTGAGCATTATTTACTGTATGGAAGAAATGCAGATGAACATAAGTTATGTTATTATTCATTCAAAATATTTCTCCGTTTCTGATTGGCTAAAAGCACATGCATAATTCACCATAACCAGCTACGGTTGACCAAATTTGGAAGAATTTTGTGATTAATCTGCCGATGACGTCAAAAGTGCAGCACAGTTGCAGGTTAATGCACCGTTAACCGAGAAGACCTGGGGACGAGGTTGAGTTGTTTTGGTTCTGAAAAGAAAAATGGCCGAACAGTCGGCGGAACATTTTACTCGTGTCACGACGAACTATTGTCTAAAAACATAGCAAGAAGACAACTCGATGGACAACATCTGCTGGTTGCAGTATATTTGCAGACCTGAACCCGACCCCTTTATCTTCTAATCATGCACTATCGAGGTGAACTTAACATCGACGAAGGTATGCATGTTTTAGCTTGTTTTTAAACTAGGAATTATTTTGAATGAATAATAAAGCAACTAACACACCTTCAGTCTTGGCAGGATCAATTCCCTTTTCTGTCATTTCTTTTAGCTCCATCATTTTCTTGTTAACAAAATCCCCTCCGATATTCAACAAAGCGTCACAATTCTTGAGAAATTTTTTAAATAGTGGTGTGTCAATATACTTGGAAGCAATTTGGTAAAATGCATCGAACAAAAGCTGTTGCGAAATTTCGAAAAAGTTGATGATTGCCTCTGTGAATTCAAGTGCCTCTTGTGGCGGTGGATCTTCATATAATCCAAGGCGAGTATCAAATGCGAATGTAGCCATACCTAGAATAAACACCACGAAAAAAATATGGTTCAGTCATTAGAACACGTGAGTTGTATTTGACAATGAGCTTTCTACCTTTTCTTGGAGTTGTAGAAGGCCTAAATGTAATGTAGGCCTAATGTAAACGATCCTAATGTAATAAAGCCCTATACTGATGTCATAACAATTATATGTTTTCTTAGAATAAGATTGTTATGGGAAAATAAGATCGTTGTGCCGTGTTTGGATGTAATAAAGATCACCTTTTCTCCGAGAAATATACGTCCTCGGAGACCCAGGGGCAGATAGTGGGGACGAGGGAAAGTCTAAACGGGCGGAAAAATGTGGCACGAAGAAAAGTAAAGAACGGCGAGAAGAGCCCCTGGGGACAATGTCTTACCAGACCAGTTCCAAACGGTCGCCACCGTTCTGGCTTCTGATTGGTGCCAGAAAACTTGCGTTTTTCTGCCACCAATCAGAAGCCAGAAGCCCCTGTGTCTCCGAGGATGAGAAATATACAGTGAAAGACCATATTTCTGATACTAAGCGAGCCGGAACGGATCGTGCTCATGCCCCCTGGGCATCCCATAATACTCCTTATTAACTCGAATTAATTCAATATGGCCGTCGCATCGGTAAAAAGGTCTATTACTTTACACCCTTTCCTTGTAGCGTATGTTTGGGCCGCCTGTGGTCCGAAACATAGGTTTTGGCGGGTTCCAGGATAGCGTTTAGAACAGAGGCACGATTTGGGATACAAGGATACCTCGCAAAAATATACACTGATTGTTACCCTCTAAAGCCCATCGATAAAGTTCCTTTTCCAAGTCAGGCATGTGATCATCTTGCTCACAAGCCTTCTTCAGCTTAACCAAACTTGCCACAGCATCCTTGCTTACAGCGTTAAAGTTCCCGATGTTTTCCTCGACAACTTTAGGGCGCATGATTTTAGGAGCAATGGTTTGCCGCACTCTGTGCCATTCTTCTCCTTGTCTGTTAAAACAAAACTGGCATGGCTGAGTATGTTAAGTCCAATATTGTTAAAAATTATTCTCTCTTCTTCAGTTTAAGAAAGTGTCATCGTTTGGATCACAAATCGCTTATTGTGGAGGTGTTCTGATTTAACAGTCATTGACGCCCCCCCCCCCCAAGTAGCACTACCCTGCTGCCCCACACCACCCCCTTCCGTTTCACTGCTTCCCTAAAAATAACGAAGTGTGCTGGCCTGCTTGCTCAGATCTCTGCTCGAGCAAGCGGGGGGGTGAGCAGAGCTAGGCCGGCCACCTTTCTCGTGTAAACAAAACGAAAGTTTTATGAGAAAACAAGGCAATTAACGGCAAGAAAGAAAATATTCAAATCGAAATATAAAGAATAAGAGCACAGGTCCTGGCTAGCAAACTACTCCATTTTGTTTCATTAACTGATAGTTTTATCATGTTAGATGCAAAACTATTGAAACCTTGAATGTAAACAACAACAGCTTTACGGGCCCGTTAATTATTGGGACTTTCGACAAACGGGCCCCAACCCGGCCTAAAGGGCTGACTCATATCAAAGGCCCTGAATCTCAGTCTTTTAATTTTCAACATCAAAAATGGCAACTACATGTACTAGATCGGGAAGTGCTCACTCGTCGAAAACATTCCTTCTGTAACCTACAAAAGAGCACGTAACGTAGTCAACCTCAATCGTGTATATCACTTAGTAAATGTATATGATAACAAAATTCAAATTGTTGCTAAAATTAGATTGCGTGACGAGGCAAAATATTCTGTAGGCGTCCTGTGAATAATTCTGAGTGGTTTATCTGCGATTGCGTGGTTGTGAGGCTTGAAAACTAGGAATAGGGAGAATATCAATCATGTATGTCACCAGTAAATGTATGATTAACAGACTGTTCACAGTCCCCTATTTTTTCGTGAGATCGATATACCGCGTCTTACCGTCACGGCTATCTTGCAGGGTCGTAACATGGTATATCCGGGGCCCACTGATCCCTATTTTCTAGCGGTTATTTTGATCCCTGAGCCCCATTTTCCCCAAAATTTTGATCCCTGAGCCCTGATAAAAGCATTGATCCCATCCATGTGTTTACACAAAATTTTAAATTAGGCAACTTTGTGAGGTTACAAACGCAGTCGTAAACGGCAGGAAAAGGGAAGCAAATACGATTGAACTCAACAGACAAGAATAAAGAACAGGTAGATTTTGTTAATAAACCAAATCAACATTTAATTATTGAATCGAGGCCCAATTTGATTGTTGGATTATTCATTTTATGAATGGATTATTGAATCAACAAACGAAATCATTTTTCCATTAATGAATTCATTAGTTTGCTAGTGACGGAAACGCTTGACCTGGTTTGACTGTAAGCGAAAATTACATTGTGATGAGATTTTTAGACCGTGTAATAAATCTGATCCCTGATTCGGGCTCAAAAGCGTCGTGATCCCTGATCCCATTCTTCTGATCCCTGAGCCCTTTCCTCTGAGCCCTGATCCCAATCATATTTTGGGCTTTGAGCCCTGAGCCCATATACCATGTTACGACCCTGATCTTGATTTTCAAATGTACCGAGGGGGCGGGCGTCGGGGATTATAGCTCTGTGGTGCCCTAACCAGTAACGCAAAGCGCTCGATCTCGATGATCTTACAGAAAAATAGAGGACTGTGAACAGTCTATATGATTAACAATATTAGAAATAATGACAATTCAAATCGTTGCTAAAATTAAACTGTGTGAGGAAGATTGTGGATTTTGTATTTTTTTCTGTGTTTCTGTAGGCTTCCTTTAAATAATTCTTAGTGGCTTGATCTGCCACAATGTTGCGTGGTTGTAGGGCTTGAAAACTAGGACTATGAAGAAATTATCGAGCAGGTTTTGATGCAAAGAATACTCACAGGTTGGGTAAGCCAGGGAAATAATTTCTCCGTCTACGGTGCTCGAGATGAAAATCTAGTATTGGCCTTTGTGGATATTTGCCTTCGGCACGCAAGGTCTTCTCGAAATCGTCTGGATCGATTACATGCACTGTCGTCGACGGCTTCATAGTGAAGTCCTCTTTGTAAATGGGGCCAAGCTCATCGAACAGGCGCTCTAAGAATTTGAATGGTTTGGTAAAGCCCTCAGTTTTCGTTATGACATCGTACATAAACCTCCAGCGATTGCGTTGTGGTATTTCTCCGAATGAACGCAAGCCATCAAGACTTTCTTGGCTTTCTAAGTGCCTAGCTTCCGTTTTCTGCGACCTCCAGCACACACTCAAAGGTTTGAGATATTGTATTCTTAAGCTAAGGAGATTCCTACGGAACGCGATGCTCGGGGACAACATAACTACTGTAGTCACATTAGTAGCTTGGCAGCTTGATAACTGTAGTTTTTGCACAGGTAGCCCAAGCTCGAAATATAAGCCCCGGCGAACATCGACAATGTTGCGTAACATTGGAAATGTGAGTGTATGGGAAAAAAACCTATCGTTTCCGTAACCTACGCAACTGAAAGGATAAAAAAAGCTTACCTTACATAAAATGTAAAATGTTTTTTATTGAAACCCTTCCATTTTCGGCCCGCTAGTCTAGGTCCACTATCGGCCCGCTAGTCTAGGTTTACAAACTGGGGCATCATGCTTTGCCGGAACAGATACTGCCATTTGATACAGCTTATGTTCCACGATCTTGGTCCCGTTTACAAAGAAGACTTGATGTTTAGGCCCACCATGACGGTGCACGTTAAAGACCCGGACGATTTTGAGAAGGTTTTTCGGGCAGAAGGAAAATACCCGCGTAAGTTGATCTTAGATTTTTCTGTCGGGCACCGCAAACGAAGGAATCGTTGGCCAGGCATAATTCAAGTGTAAGTAACAATGTTCTTTTTGCTTGGAAAGAATTAAAATTTGTATTCTATCAGAATTTATTACATGCCTGCCACCGATGAAGCGAATCCGCTCAGTTTTCTTCATTTCACTTTATGTATGGGTTAACCCCTATAAATATTCATTCTTTATTCGCATATTGAAAGAATGAAATAATTTTAAGCGCAGTATGTGGGTGAAGCAGAATCTTTTAAACTGTTTAAAGCTAGGTTAAAGTCTTTTTTAAATATGTAAGTATGTAACTAGAGAATACGTGAATAGTGATAGGTAATAATTCAACGTTTTTTTTATTTTTATTTAGGAAACGTTGGCGTTGACCTCGTGTTTCTTTTTCTAGCCTGCGAGCAAGCTCTCCGGGACGCGGAGAGCTTGCATCACAGCCTTTTCGTGATGTTTTTTTTCTCGTTTTTGTATTTTTACACACTTTTGTTTATTGTTTAACATCATGAATAAGCCACACGTTATTGTATTGTATAACGGCTGTGCATAAAATAACAAAAAATAACACTTTTATACGCAGCACCAACACTTTCATACACAGCTTTGTATAACTACCGGAGCGGCAAGATGTGCCTAGCCCGCTCGGAATTATTTCTTGCATCTGTCTCGCAAGAGACGAGATGGCTGGAAATTGGAACCTTGATCTATTTTGCTCTCTTATATTGATTTCCGTCCTCAACAATGCAAGAAAAAAAACTTAACCAATATCCAGCAGTGTTGAGTTCACGGTTGGTCAATAAAGCATAATTATGCAAATAAATGTTAGCTCCAAAAACTATGAAAGCAGCGGCACGTAGACTCGTAGACCAAAAACCTTAAAGAAAGACTATCTATGCGGTAACCTTTCTTCCCAGAGCCAGATATGGACGAGAACTATATGTTTGCCTTCATCTTAAAATGGGCAGACAAACACATACATAAATGAGTGAGAACGATTCGGAAACCTCTTTGATAGCTCTTTCGCACGTGTTGCGGACTAGTTTTTCTTTAGTTTACAATACAGAGTTTGACTTTTTTGCTAAAAATTTTATTCGTGTAGCCGTAGTGGGGAACAAATAGTTAATTCGGTCTCAATTTAACCTTCGGACGTATACGCAAATTCATATCCCCGCGGTGGTACAAGGGGGGGGTTGGATGGTACCCCTCCTCAGAGTTTTTGATATGTTGCAGTATTTCGAAAAGATTTTGCCTTTAGTGGAAAGCCTTTGATCTTCTCAACAAGATGAGGTATATTTTATGGGTAGTGGCGCTGCTGGAGGCCTGTGACGTCACCAACAATGGTCACCATCTTGGCCGCCATCTTGGATTTTACCAAGAATTAGAACTCGAGTTTTAAAAAAATCGCGAGAAATGGCAATTTTTTGTGCTTGACATGGAAATTAACACATAAATAAGCACTTTGCATGACTTAAGCCACAAGATTTACTTTTATTGTTGAAAGAAATTGAACAAACATGTATTTTGACCCAAAATGGCTTTACCATCTGTTACTTATGACGTCATATTTCGTAACCATAGACAATCGCTGAACTTGGCTCAAAATGTGCGCGAGGGATAAACGAACAGCTAGTGAAAACGTCAGTTTTCCCAGCACACACAACCTGCTACGACAGCGAATACCACACGGAGGTTGTCTGCATATTATAAAGACATCCTCTAAAACTACTTAAAATTGAAAGAGTGTTTTAATCTGTCATTTTAGCTGAAACTATTGCCTCTTGAGTCATTTTCAACGAGTTTCAGTCTTGGCTAAGGCTTTTTTGACCGTTGTATGGATTTCTCTGGACTTTTTTATTCCTTTATATGTCTAATCCGAAAATACGCATGCTCACCAATCAGATTGCGATTGTTGCTTGTCGTTCAGCTGAGCTGTTGAAAATAATTTTTTAAAGTAAAACAAACCGTTTTCAAAACGATGTTTTTAACAGAGATGGAGAAGAATGGCACAGAATGCGGCAAACCATTGCTCCGAAAATCATGCGCCCAAAAATTGTGGAGGAAAATATTGTAAACTTCAATGCTGTAAGCAAGGATGCCGTAGCAAGGTTTGTCAAACTAAACGACGCTTGCAAGTTAGATCACATTCCTGACTTGGAAAAGGAATTGAATCGATGGTCTTTAGAAGGTAATCTTACCATTTACTTCACTTAAATTGATAACGATTAACCAGACGTAATTAATTGATAAACCGATAATCGATAATAATCGATAGTAATCGATGTCAATCATCGATGAATATCGATTTCCGATATCGATCAACAGAAATCGATAAAGAAAAAAGTTGTTACTTCGATTAATATCGATGATTTTCAGATAGAAGTCGATAATGATTTTTTATCGATTACTATCGATTCCTTTCGATTGTTATCGATTTTGTCAATTGATCATGATCGATATATATTTTTTCTTTGACTTGGATTTCTATCGATTTCCGATATCGATTTTTATCGGTTAAGTACGCCCGGCGATTAATCATTCTCTATCGAGGGCCCTGTGAGCAGGAAAGCCCAAAATTATATTTCCAAGCCGAAGTTTTGCCTAAATCTTTAGTCCTAAGCTCAAGGAATAGCACAGCTAGCTAGTGATCGGAGGCCCTTCTGTGTGGGAGGATTCGAGTTGGATTCCTAAGTGTGACCTTAAATTCTTGTTTCGACGTTTTCTTTTCCCGTAAATGGCCTAGTTCCTCAGTGAGCTTCTTGATTGCTCAATTCAATTCAATTCAATTCTTTATTCACACTATACAAGATATTTACATAAGTGTACATACTAGGAAAATAAAGTAGCTACAAATAAAAATTAACTAAAAGATATTAAGTTCATTTGTGTACTTTCTCGTTGGACACCGTCATGTTGAAATAATTGGCAGCAGTAAAGAGTGGAATAAAATCTCAAATAATATCAGTGATAGAACATATACTCATGTCAGATTTGGTTGGTTAGAAGACAGGACTTCCATTCTTTTTTAAACTTATGATATGGCAGACACTTGAGACCAGGCGGTACAGTCTCCCAGATTTTTGGAGCGGAGAATTTAAAGGACGTCTTACCTAAGTTGGTGGATACTCTTGGCCTAAAATAGTTCAGATTACTGACAAATCGGGACTGAATGGAAGCGCCATATCACCGCGGGGCCAAAACTCTCGAGCCAGCTTTGTAAGGGGAACCATAAAAGCCCTCCGTTTTCCCCTGTGCACCTTCCTCGTTATTATTCTTGTTAACCATTGCAGGTATTGGTACATTAGCATTTGATACTCGCCTTGGATTGTATGAAGATCCTCCGCCTCAGTCAGCACTGGAATTCACAAATGCCGTTAACAACTTCTTCGAACTTGCCCAACAGCTTCTGTTCAATATATTTAGCACAATTGCTCGCCCTTACATAGACACACCAACCTTTAAGAAGTTCCTTATCAATGCCGACGCCTTGTTTGAAATCGGGCAAGTTTTTGTTGACAAGAAGATGAGGGAACTGAATATAATGGCAGAGAAGGGAATTGATCCGAGTAACGCCCAAGGTGCGTAAACAATATACTAATAGCAGGTTATTCAACGCGTTTTCCATATAACCGCTACGAAGACTGAAATCACTGCGCAATAAACTTAGCGGTGACTGACCGGCAACTATCGCTAAGATAGAATTTAGTCATCTCAGCGATCATATACGTGGAATCCGCTTTCCACAAAATGAATTGCGGTATTGGCTTTTTTTGGAAAGAAGCGCACCCGTAGGGCTCAGTGCAGCATATTTCTTTAGACTACAACGTAGAATAAAGTTTGATAACGATACATGTACAGAGCTTGAAAGCAATCAACAATTCAGTTCTGTTTCATGGTGGTTCGTACCAGTTTGCAGCTTTTTTGTCCATTCAACTCACCAAAACGTAATACTTTATTTCTGCTCTTTAATGAAACAAGCGTGCGCAATTATTGATGATAGACATGTTATCATTCTAGAAAGGGAATAACTAGAATGTGATTGCTGCGGAGCGACCGCAGGGAGCGAGCAGCAACATAATCAGGATTTAAAGGAAATATATATAGGGGCAACGAATTCTCGAATTCATCACTTTTTACCACAATGCATTGCATTTAACCACACTTTTTACCACAATGCATTGCATTTAACCAGAGTGCATTGCGCCAGGAACAAGTCAAATAATAACACGGGGAAGTTCGCATCGTTCGCTGCCCAGACTCAGAGTTTTCGTTGTAGCAAATTTTCTACAGTGCGGTTAGAGGTCTTACCAAATTTAAGACACGCAGGAGTCTTTCAGATGAGTACAATGGTTAACTTGGGGATTGGATTTCAATTCAAGAGCCTTTGACTCGTCCAGGTGTTAAACCTGACGAGAAGATGAGTATTTGCTCTTCGACTCCGCAACACGGGGGATATACAAATTCCAGCTTGCTAGATGTGAACGTGAGAAAATGTCATGCCATGCTATTCTTAAGAACCTGTATGAGCCGAAAATGGATGTGATTTTGACCATTCGCTTCAAAATAACAGCGGAAATCGAGATAACAAAACATGTTTTGTGTCCTACGTTGCAGACGAGGACGTGTATCGGCGTTTTGAAAAGCATTATTGTGTTCTTTCATTCATTCATTGCCATGGAATATGCGTTTACATTGTTTTTTACTGCTAATAGCTCGATTAATGCGGCTGGCGATCATCTTGCCGGCGGAAGTTTCATGCAAAAAGCATTAAATTAAAGACTTTTCCCACAATTACTTAATCAGTCTCTGTGGTGTAGTGGTTAGGTGTAGTCGCGTCGAGTCGATGGTGCTGGGTTCGAATCCTAACGAACTTTTTTTTTCCTTCTTTCTTTTTTTTTTTTTTTCCGTTTTTTGTGTTTTTGTTTTCCATAAATATATAGCTAAATAACTGTTACTTAATAAAGTGCAATAAACAGCAAGAAAAGTATCGTGTTTCCAGAGAAATGATAGTACACCATATATTAAATATATGGATAAACAATCTGAATTTCTATCATTTCCTATAATTTACTGTGGGAAAACCAGAGTTGATAACCACTTGATCATTTTCTAAACAACGTTCCCACGAGTTCTTTCTATAGACTGATAGTACTATTCTAGTACTTTCCAACATGTAAATAGGACATTCAATGTCATTTTCGATTCTTTCAAGTCCCACTGCCTAACTAATGCCAGTATCAACAGAATGTGCCGCAGCATTACTATCTTTTAGATACCCTAGTTATATATCTAGTCGCTTGACCCGTTTAATTACGGAATTAGTAGAATTAACGGAACAATGAGGTCATTTCTTCTCGTCTCGGTAATAAAGAGTTTCGGCTAGACTGCGAGCAATCTCTTATTTTTCTTTTGAGACACGGTAGAATGCGAGCACGAGAAACGAGGGAACGCGTGAGGGGCGGGCGGCGACAAACGAGGGCAGAGCCTGAGGAAAGAAGGCTAACCTGTCTATCAGGTCTTTATGATGTCAAAAAAAGAAAAATAGAAAGGCTTAAACGTCTGGAATTAAGGACCCGTTAGTAAAGTTTAATTAGGAAGGTTAAGCAACGACGACTGGGACGGCAACGAGAACGTCAAGTTTAAATTGGTTAAAACAACAACTTTTCCCGTGCATCACGCTTTTTTGTATAGTACATTCGTCACTGCACGACAACGACGTGAACCTTCCTAATTTCACCTTTTATGGAGGACAAGAACACAAGACAACGATTTTCTTTTTCTTAGTAAGCCACAGTCGTTTGGTTTAGAATTCAACTCCTGAAAAAATCGCCAACATTTGATAAATTAAAAGTCGAGTTGGAATAAGAGCGATGAAGATTGAGACAGCGCAAATTCACTTTTTGGGTGACGTTGCTTTAGCCTCCCATTATCTATCTGCAATGTGAAATCCCTCTCACAACACCTCATAAATAGTTTACTAAGTTAGAGTTCGTTTAATACCTGGCCAAAAATATTAATGACTATGTGAATCCACTGTTACCCTGGGTTCCAGAGGGTACTTTTTTCTTATCGATACGGTTTCTTTCATATTAGGTATTTGAGAACAGACCTCTGGAGCCAGGGTAATCCACTATTTGTTCTCACTTTCCATCTCCTTATCAGTTAAGATACAATGAATTTTGTCGTACTTCTTCTAATTAGTTGTTCCACTACTGGCATATTTACTCATGAAGGAAGACCTTACTCCCGAGGAGGTTAATGGACATGCAATTGATATTGTTACTGCCGGTGTTGACACGGTAAGATACCTGGAGTTTTGAAAGCCGGGTTGGCAAAAAAATCAACTCATTCTATTACCTGGCAATTTACAACAATAAAAAATCACTCAAAGACCGATTAAAAGCCTTTATCTGACCCCAGGCAGTACGTCAATGGTCCCCAGTAGCATTTCACTGGGCCCAAATTTAATCTGACTCCGTGAAGCTTCAAGCCGGTGTCCGCGTTTCAGTCTAAAAATTTTCAAGTCGAGTGAATTGCTGTCAAAAGTGCCTGGTTAAGGCGGGGTTAAGGTTTACATAACAACTTATATAGCTAGCAAAATACTACTATTTTCTCGGGCCGATAAATGACAGGATTTTGCATGGAATAGCTACAATAAACATTGAAACATAGCACACAAATTATCACCCCTTATCTCCTCAAACAGGCTTATGGATAGACTGCGAGCAGTCCCTTAACTTCAGATTTAGTGAGGGGATCAGTCACGCGCGTGGTCATTTGCTTATCTCGCGTGTTTCGCTCAGTGGACGAAGAAAAAAAGAGACTGCTCGTAGTCTATAGCCTATGGATAAAAGCCAAGTGCCCGCTGATCCAATTTTCCAAAGCTTAGAATTTGTTTTCTAAGGCACAGTCACCTAAGCTAACACCGACAAAGCGTTTTTATGCTTGGTACAAGACTAGCTTCCCACGCAGGCGTTTTTAGGGGAGCTCGTTTTCCATCCCTCCCCACAGAGGAACGAAACACGAGCTCCCCTAAAAACGCCTGCGTGGGAGGCTAGGTACAAGACAAGCGACCCAATAAGGTAACTTTCTGTTTCAGCCCTGATCAGAGTAATTGATCGGTTTATCCAAATGAAATTAAACGAGACTACGGTAAGATATTGGGCGATGATGCTCTCCGGCCGAAAACGTTTCTCAAAGTGACGAATAACGAAATATAAACTGCTAAGCGGTAATGAAACAGTAAGATTCTATCTTGCGCAGATGGAAAAATTAAAGTTTTTCTTTTTTTGCCTCTTTCCCGTGCAGACATCGAACGCTACTTTGTGGTGGTTGTATAATTTGGCGCGATTTCCTACCGTCCAAGAAAAGGTTTACCAAGAAATAAAAAGTGTTTTGGGAAACGATAGGGAAGTGACACCTCAGCATCTCGCTAAACTACGTTATCTTAAGGCGTGTCTTAAGGAGTCCATGAGGTAAAACTATGAATTCAAAAGAAGATAAATTGTACTATTACATTTTTATTGCTTAATGTAATCGGGGTTTAGGGGCTTCTTCTACCCTGGGTACCAGAGGTTTTTTCTCGCGTGCGACGAGGAGCTTTCGTAGTGTGTCGGCCGCAGGCCGACATCGGGGTAAGGGTGGAAGCCATGTATTTTTTCTCTCTAAAAATGGATATATAGCAAAAAACAATGATTTCCCTTGTCCAATTCTTTTCCCACAATATCGCAAAATTCCGAAAATACGCCCCGTTTTTTCCGCCAGAAAGGGTCGAGCTTTAAACAAAGTGAGTAAAAAAGAAAACAATTCTGCCTTCTTATTCTTGTTGTTTTTTAGACTGACTCCAAGTACTACAGCCAATGTCAGGTTTTTGGACGAGGATGTGGTTTTATCGGGATACCATGTTCCAGCTCAAGTAAGTGGTAGGACCGTCCTGCTAAATTGTCGGCCTCCTGACATTTAAGAGTGGGGAACCAAGGGTGGGTACTCCCACAAATTTCGGATGAGTTTGTACCGTATAGGGTCTTAAACCCAGACCCCATTAGCATGGATCGTTACATATTGATCTTGTGCCCCTTTCTGGGTATCTCTTTCATAACGAAAATCCAATATGACTTAGGCCCGTTTCAAACGTCGTGCTACTGCCGTGCCGAACTCAATTGATCGAATTAAATTCGACTTTAGTTCGGAAGTAGCGCGACGTTTGAAACCAAGTCGTGCTACTGCTGTGTAGCAGGGCAAGCCTTGCCGTGCTACACGGCAGTAGCTCGACTTGGTTTCAAACGTCGCGCTACTGCCGTGCTGAACTCAATTCATAAATTATAAATACATTAGAATACATTTAAAAGTTTGCAAAGCCGTTTCTTTATTCTTGTGTTATGTTTTCGGCAACAGCCGTTCTATTCGAGTGAATTAAATTCGACGTCTGAAACCAAGTCGTGCTAATGTCGCGCTGCAGTCGAGCTACAGTCGAGCCAGCTTAGCACGGCAGTAGCACCACGTTTGAAACAGGCCTTAATCATACAATTTGACTGGGACTAGAGGGTGGGGACATTTGTGTTGGTTTGGCAGAGGGTGGGGCCCTACGTTCTTCGTCCCATGGTCAATGTCGTAAGATAAGAAACACTAAAGTTAGAAACCTTTTTTTAAAGTTCTCATCACTATAAATGACTTTTTACAGACTCTTATCTCGATGGAGTTATATGCAACGACACGCTTAGACAAGTACTTCAAAGATCCTTTGGAGTTTAAACCGGAACGCTGGCTAAGAGGGACTAAAGATGTTCATTCTTTTTCTCATCTGCAGTTTGGATTTGGGCCTCGTATGTGTGTTGGTAAGAAGAGACGTTATTCCTTGTATGTTAGTTCGGTAACTGAGAGGGTGATGTAATCAAACTTGGATCGATACAGTGACTCATGTCCTCCTGAGGCACTCACAAGAATATTCTCATTTTAAGTCTCAGAATATACTATGTAATAATTTAGTTAGTTTAATGTTTTTTTTTCCAATTTTGGTCTAGACATGTTCCGTTTTTTGAGCACATGCTGAATGAGAGAATTACGAAATCCTTTTGCTCTCGACCGCTCACCAACGTTTTGACACAAAAATCAAACGCCCGACCGGGCGGGCCTCATTTTGGGTCAAAATCCCCCCTAAGGAGTTAAACTCCAGTCAAATGCCCGAGATATGCCCGGGGGGAGAGAGCAGATCAATCTTTTTTCTACAATTTGATACCCAGGAAAATTGTGGAGATGTATGAGGGCTGGTGGCAGACAGTGGGGATGTATGGTTAAAAAAAAAAAAAAGCACCACAAATGAAACTTTGTCCCAATTTCTCCATTGCAGAAAAATTAAGCAGTTTGCTAGCTTAATCAATGTCCTTTAGTGAGATTATGATTTTGATTTCGTTGTTATTGTTGTTAGGTCGGGGGAGGGGGCTTGTTTTCAGCCATACAGTATGCTGAGACTTCAGTATTAAAGCATAATCTGCACTTTTCTTGTAGGTCGTCGTGTGGCTGAGTTAGGGATGTACGTGCTAATATGCAGGGTCAGTACTGTTATATCTGGAAACGTTGTACATCTCTTCAGAAAATGAGACTGTTACCCACCCCTCTGCATGTTTTTCTTTCCCCTTTCAATCATCCTACTCCCCCTCATCCTTCTCCTCCCCTCCACTGTCCTCCTCCTCCTCGTCCTCCTTCTCTTTCATCTCGTCCTCTCCCGCCATCCCCCTCTTCCTCCTTCCCAGTCTCGCCTCCCGTCTTCCTCCTTTCCTTTTTTCTTACTTTTAATCTCTCTTTATTGCAGTTACTTCAGAGATTTCGCCTCGAGTATCACCACGAGCCACTAGAAATACGTCAAAAGATGCTTACTGTTCCCGACAAACCGGTCAAAATCAAGTTTATCGAACGTTTTTGAGAACGTTACAAGGGAAAGGTTCTACAGCTTCTTACAACACCCTTTTTAGAATCTGATTCAGACCGGAAAGGGTTTTTGAGGCTCCCTCGGCTTAAATTTAAACAACTTTTACACCATCGTCTATGCTCTTGGCGCCTCGTGGCACATAAGGCCTCAAACCATTATGGTCGCCAAACTTAGGGACTTTTATTTAGAAATATTTTTTAAGTCTTTGTGATGTATACATCAAATATTGACCTTACCCTGGCAACCGAAATTGGCTGGCATGTTTTCCATAACCTATTCACATAACAACAAAAACAAAAAAAAAAACGTTTTATGTCTAGCTATTCCATTTGCAAGCAGGATAAATTTATTTAATTAATTCAAAATGGCGGATGATTCAAGTTCCTTCCTATATTGTAAACGACTGACGTCACTGACGTCACTGTTATTATCAAAATTTATCAGTGTGATATCCAAACTCATGATTTTACCAGACACATCCCTAGTTAGTGTTTTTGTTTTATATCTCTTTATAGAGGGAAGAATGATGAGACGCAGGTGGATTCCGCCCATAAATGTAAAAGCATGCCGTCGTCATTACGTCCCATTACCTCATCGTGTCTCTCACATACCCGAAAATTTGTAATTTGCCGACAATTACATTCTGTGCTGACGCATTCCCTGCTCACAGATGTCCTTTTATAAAGTTTTTTCTAAATTAGTGTCTTTATAGTTAAAAAATTGACTAGAACGCGCGAGCGTGAATTGATCAAACCTTTTAATTTTTAAGACTTACTTTCCGGCTAATGAACTGTATGTAAAAAGTGAAAGAGAAATAGCAAAAAAATCCAACTTCTAATCAGATCTTTTCTTAAGGTTTAGAATAAAATATTCTCGAAACTGAGAATGTTTTGATCAAAGATGTAAAAATCCAACCGAATCAGTGCAGGAAACCTTGCGTTTCGTGTTTTTATTTCACTTATTATATTGTATGGAATATATGTGTGAACATCTTCATTATGAATGGGTATATTTCAAAGAGCTACACAACGACCAAGGATACAATTGACCGACAATATATAGAGCGGGGGCAGATGTAGTGTCAACTACTACGAGTAGTGTTTTAAACATCAGACTTCAGCTGCCGGCCTGAGCTGCGGTTTATAGTAATATAAAAAACCTTTTTAAAATTTGTGGCCTAATCTTAATTTTCCTCATCTTCCAAGGTATCTTATCTTAAGTTAATCACTACACACACGCCAATGCCAACGACCGCAAACACAATAATTTGGCATTTATTGACATTATGGACAAAGAGTTAGCAAATACATCTGCTTGTAGTCCTCGAAACACGGTGCATTGCTCAAGTATATGACGCAGGAGTATTTAAGAAGACTTGTTCATGGCCCAGATCTGTAAGGATTCTGGCCGAATTCAAACCGGAATCAAAAAACAGAAAACAGAATTACAGAACCCAAAAAGTGAGATATCACACGTAAAAAAAAGAGTTCCATGATAAATCTTGTCTAGGTACATCTTACAATAAAAGTTTCATGATATGAATTAACCTCATTCCCAAGGAATTAAGGATGGCATCTTCTTGGTGTTTTTAACCTTTACTGATGTGAGTTCGGTCTTGCTAGTCGACCTTGTTAAAAAGGTGATATTCACCTTAGTACAATATTCCATAATTGGGGTAAAAATATTTTAGCGAGGCTCCATGCTCCACACGAGAGCTAAAGATAATCTACCCATCCGAGAAAATGTGGTTATCACGTGACCGTACACCGAGCGACCGTCCGTCCGCACCACAGGGAGCCAATGTTTAATCTCGCACTTTCTAGCTAGTTTGGGAGCCCAGGAGCAACCTGATACTGCTCTGATATTTCCCCATATTGCACATAAATGTTGTTATCTTTTGACAGCTGTCAAAACAGGGTATCCAACGACCAGTATCACCTGACCGTATCGCGGGCTCAGATATCGACCCATCGAGGTCGAGTTTTTTAAGTTATCCGCTGACAAGTTGCTTGTTTTCAAATGATCGTAGGCTCAAGTTATTTTTTTTACATTTGACTTTTCTCACCATGGTTACGCGTTGTTCACGCTCTACGTCTAATGTTAATGCTCTGATTTATTTATTTATTTAATCGCTTTCACCATGATTACAATACTAAAAAAGACTAGGGAAAAAAATACATTTGAACAAGACACAAAAACGAAGGACGAAGGTGCGGGACACACAACAGAGCGAGGTTCCAAATTAAGTGTGCCGTTACGGAAAATACACAAATACTAACTATGTAAACATTAAACATTATAAAATGTATGAAAATCTCATTTGTAAAAACGATAAGGATGAATCCCTCCTGCAGCCGACAAAAAGTCTTAGTGGTAGCAGTTACCAGCTAATAGAAGATTACGTGACCTACTGCATTTGCAGCAGATCGACTTCCAGGTGTTAAAGTTAGTGACGTCATAGTTTGTACGAAAAGCAGCCGAATAGCGTTGGAGTACGTGAGATTTAAACTGATCAAGAGAACTAAGAGTACGAGTGGATACAGGTAACGTATTCCAGAGTTTAGCAATACGATTAAAGTAACTAAATTGAAAGAGCTTTGTACGGCACTTGGGAATTAGTACGTCTTGATCAGAGCTATGGCGAGTGAGATGAGTGCCTTTAGGCTTGACATAATCAGCTATGGGTAAGGTGTAGTGGCCAGCGCGACACTTGAAATAGAAAATTAAGTCTTTCATTTCGCCCCAGTATGTTAAAGGTAGCAGATTGAGGCGAGAAAGGCGCTCATGATAAGAAATATCCTCTTGCCAGTGCGTGTTTAAGATGAATTTTGTTGCCCTGCGTTGAAGACTGTCTATTTTTGTTATACTACCGATCGTACTGGGGGCCCATACCTCGCTAGCATAGTCACTATATGATCTTACAAACGTGAGATATAGTAATTTCCTATGGTCTGTAGTGAATGACATAACACTATTGCGGCGCAAAAATGCGAGCATCCTATTGGCCTTAGCTAAGATAGTGTTAATGTGAGTATCCCATGTGAGGTCCGGAAAGATAGTCACTCCGGGGTCTTTTACTTCAGTGACGTGTTTAAGTGAGTTGTTGTTCAACTTGTAATCGTAGCGAAATGGGTGGCGCTTACTTGTGACGGTTAGTACCTCACATTTAGAGGCGTTAAACTTTAGGTGCCAATCATCGCTCCAGCCATGCAGACTGTCCAGGCCCTTTTGGAGTGACTCACAATCTTGTAGACTTTCAATGACACTGGAACATTTTGAGTCATCGCGAAGAGTGCGATGCGATTCTGTATCACCGGTGGGAGATCGTTCACATAAACTAAAAACAGCAGAGGACCGAGGGTACTGCCCTGAGGGACTCCTGATGGGCCTGGAGAACGACTAGAAGTGAAACCGTGGACCAAGCACTGCTGACCGCGTCCACCTAGATAGCTCTCAAACCACTGCAGATTGGTCAAAATTTGACAGGCGAGTTCATGTTTGTGGATTCCAAGTTTATTGTTTGATTAAAATAATAAATTTATTAATGGGAGCTTCGCTTTTAGCCCTGGCTATGTTTATTACTCGAGCAAGTACAAAGAAATGCAAAGAAATCTTGTGACCCCTCTTGCTGGGTCATAATTTTTTTTCCGAGACAAAGCCAAATAGGTTCTTCATATATGACCTATCCAAGTCAATAGAATTGACCGCACGAAAGGTTTTTGCAGGCTCAACATGACCTTCTTGACATTCATTCCGGTCAGTCTTCTCTCAAGTTCTCAAGTACTTCGTAAACCTGCGACATCCCACTAAATTCAAAACTAAATGTTGTCCCCAAGGATCGCTTTTCGCAGGAATATCCTCGATTTTACAAAAACTTATCGTAAACCTTTAACGCTGTTCTGGAGATCACAGAGATCAGAGCCGAAACAGGTAGGAACCCCAGAAACTTTCGATGGAGTACGACCTTACCGAGTAATTCCAGAACCCAATGGCTTGAAGTTCATGTACGATCTTTGTACAAAGACCGAGGGCTTTACCAAAGCTTACAAAATAACTGAACGCTTGTTTCACGAGCTTGGTCCTATTTACAAAGAAAATTTGATGCTTTGGCCGATCGCGACTGTGCACGTTCAAGAGCCAGACGATTTTGAGAAGGTTTTTAGGGCAGAAGGAAAATATCCGCGTAGGCTGATGTTTGATTTTATGGTCGAGCACCGCAAACGAGGGAATCATTTCCCAGGCATAATTCCAGTGTAAGTAAACCGATAACTAATGATTGCTTGTAAAAAAAAATATGTATATAATTTGAAGTTATAATGTTACATGTGGCTAAATGCCCGGCAGTCAGAAAAATTTCTACAATTTCTGCAAAATCCCTATTTCTAATCGTTTGAAAGTATTCTATCTTCTTATAGAATTACCAAGCGATCAGGAAAACAAGAATGGCTTCGCAGCTGAGCGGTTGTGGTTGGGCATAGAGTAGAGTCGACGCTGAAAAGCTTCGTGAAGCAGTGCGTGACTCACTGTCACGTTTTCATCCAAGCTAAATACCCGCCAGTGTGCTTCATTACACCGTATGTTTAGCCGTTTATTTAACCCTTCGTACCCGCTTGGCTTCTCTGAAGGTCGATGAAATACTTTCAAAGGGGGCTAAAGAGACACTTAATGTTTAAAATCCCTAGACAAATCGGATTGCCGGGCATTTAAACTGAGGAGGAACCGTGCCTTTGAGTCAACCACCATACTTAACCTCTGGTTAAAAACTCTGTTTTTTCTCGTTACTCGCCAATTCTAAACCATGACAGAATAGTTTGAGGAGAATGAGAGGAACGCTTTCCCAAGATTCAGCAGCACCACCACTATATCAAGCTGTTCAAGTAAGGCGGCTCGAGGTTGCGAAGTAGAGTTTCAAAATCAAGGCACTCTCACTCCGATTGTTTTGGGAAACTAATCGAGGCTAGTGTACATGTATTCTGGAGCTTAAGAGAAGGCTTTTTAATTTTCCAGCTCCGCTTTGAGGTTGGCGGGTATTTTATAGCCTGTATGAAATCGTGCGTGTGAGTCACGCACTGCTACTCACGAAATTTTCCTAGTCTTTGACTCTACTCTTCGCCCAAGAAACCACAACCGCTCAGCTGCGAAGCGAGTTTTGGTGGTTATTCTAAATAAAGATGGTCAGGAATACTTTCAAACGATTAGGAAAAGGCATTTGGCAGAAATTCTAGAAAATGTTTTGAGTGCCGGGCATTTAGCCTCATGTAATATTATAACTTTGAATTATATGACTTAATAAGTTTTTGTAAGATCCTTCCCGGCTGCCAAGTAATAATAGCCACAGCGATAATATTAACTAGGTATAGAGTACCGAAGTGATGACGTCATAAAAATGAAATTTGTGAAATTATGGGATTTGTTAAGATATTCTGAAAGAACAACGTCCAAGACGCCTACTCGCCAAAAATTAGCAATTCGGGGCAAATTGTCTCTGAGATATTAGCCCAGTTATGCTGTGACGATTCCATACAAATCCTTCTAAATTTGGCTTGGTTCATAAGATTAGGAACCAGGTAAGATTTAGAAGGATTTGTATGGAGTCATCGGAGCATAACTGGGCTAATATCTCAGAGACAATCTGCCCCAAATTGCTAATTTTTGGCCAGTAGGCGTCTTGGACGTTGTTCTTTCAGAATATCTTAACAAATCCCATAATTTGACAAATTTCATTTTCTCTGACGTCACACTTCGGTACTCTATAGTAGCATGCTCAACTGACTCCACAAGAAAAATGAGCTCAAAGAAATACTTCTGATCCCTTCTTGAGTTTAGCACCCTTTTCCTGCTACAGCCAGTTCTGGCCGGAATCATCATCTTTGATGTGTAGTCAGTCAAACATTTAAATAAACGGGACCATCCAGGAAGAACCGACTCTTTGTTCTTTACTTTTCGTTTTTTTTTTTTCATTATAATTGTGGAAGTGAATTTTTAAGTCGATCTCATTTAAGCCCCCTCCGTTTAGTTCTTGAAGATCTCTCGACGAAGTCAATTGCAAACACACATCAATTACATGTATAAATACTGTTTTCCGGTCCTTGCTTTGGCTCGTCACGCTATCCTTGCCGAAACAAAAGCTGTGGTTTAATTTGTAAACGCCCACGCCACAAGTGTGCATATTAATGCAGATGTTTGGAAATTAAAAGGCATATGTTTTGCTTTAAAAAAAGACGAAGAAAAGAATAAGAAAATTTGACATTCGGCAATAAGCAAGTCTCACGTCGGGCAGATCTTTGATGATAAATGTCCCAACCATGGGAACTCAAACCCTAACAAATTCTTGACAAATGCTGGTGGGGCTATTAACGATTTTAACTAGTGCAGAAGACATAAATGGGCAATATAGCGACTATAGCTAATTGGAATAGTCCCTTCGCCAACCTCAGGTGAAGTGTAGAAAACTGTATGCCCCTATACATTGCTTCCTTTGATCTGATGAATGCGTTCAACCTGGCTGTAGAGGCGTCAGAGAGACATGGAGATTGAAAGCGAGAGCGATCGTTAAAGCAGCTACAACACTCGCTGGCCTCACGAGTTGTATTTGCACTTATCTCGAACAGACGGTGGAAAAAAAGTTGACAGTGTAAAACACCCCGCGAAGACACAGAAAACAAATGCCAGACAGATGAGATAGACTCAACTCAAAAACGCCTTTCCGGAGAGCAAAAAACGCACTTTACTAGGTGACTGACTAGCGAACTTCAAAGAGCCTATTAAGAAATCAGAAATCGCAGAAGCTGTAAGGTTTTATCTAGAAAATACATCTGGGAACGTTTACTTTCATTTATTGTTTTCCCAAGACTGAAAAACTTTAGAACATGTGTTAACTCTTAGGAAATTAGTTAACTCTCAAGAAATTTTCTTATTAAGATTGTCACAAGGCTTCTTTTTGTAAAACTTTCCATCTTTCGATCTTGGGATTTTTCTGCTTCATTCTTTCTTTTTTCTGACAGAGATGGAGAAGAATGGCACAGATTGCGGAAAACCATCGCTCCGAAACTCATGCGCCCAAAGATTGTGGAAGAAAACATTCTTAACTTTAATGCTGTAAGTAAGGACGCTGTAGCAAGGTTTGTCGAACTAAAGGAAGCTTACGAGCAAGATGATCACATTCCTGACTTGGACAAGGAACTGAATCGATGGTCTTTAGAAGGTAAGCTTCGAGAAGTCGATGACAACTGTAGATGACATTTGCATCGTCACTACGTGGTAAAACTGTTATGTATAAGAACTGTCGATATTTAACAATTATTGGACGAGGTTGAGCAAAATATCGTGATTTGTCTATGGCGAGCAGACCAAAAATCACGATATTTTGCGACAACCGAGTTCAATAATTGTTTTATCATTCCATCACCGAGTTTGTTTTTTTAATGAATATCCTTCGGAAGCGAAGCGATCTGCCATTTTCACTCAAGAGCGATCGCAAGAAGGAGAAAAGCACGGTTTCCTTTACGCATGAGCAGAATATCATTTGCAGCCAAACACCGTTTGACGGCATTGCGCATGAGCGGACCATTATTTGTAGGCCGTTATTTGCAGGTCACGTGGTGGGCTCTCGGCCAATGAAAAGAAAGAAATATTAGCTTCGAATGATAATATTTATTATTATTGTCATTAGCATTAGCATTATCATTCTGTTGTCGTTATCATTATCATCATCATAATCCGATTATTATTATTTTGTCAGGCAATCACATGTTGTCTGTTAAAATCTACTTCCCAATAATAATTGTCTAACGAGGGCGCCGAATGGGGATGACGGACTTGGGAGGAAGAGGAGGATTCAATTATAGTTACAGCTGTAATGCTGTAAAACGAAATCACCTAGTGACGCTGCTGACGCATGTCAGGTCCTTTCAGGATTCGATACGCGTTGCGCAAATTAACATAGTGAATGGCTTCTCCATCCCTATGAGGCTAGAGTACCACACAGAAGGGCCACATGTCCTTCTTGAGCCAGCCTTGTATGAACTCTATAAACCCCTCGTGTCCTCCTCTATACACCAGCTTTATTATTCTTGAAAACTGTTGCAGGTGTTGGTACACTAGCATTTGATACTCGTCTTGGATTATATGAAGATCCTCCGCCTCAGGTAGCACTGGAATTCACAAAGGCCGTTAACAACGTCCTTGAACTTTCCCAACAACTTACATTTAATATATTTAGCAGAGTTGCCTACCAATACATAGACACACCAGTCTTTAAGAAGTTTCTTAAGAACGCTGACTTGATACTGGAAATCGGACATAGTTTTGTTGAAAAGAAGATGAGGGAGCTGAAAGAAATGGATGAAAAGGGACTTGATCAGGACGACGCTCAAGGTGCGTGTACGTATTATAAGGCCAGATTGAAAACATTTCTTCTTAGCTGCTTTACCACTTGTAAATAACACTTGTTTTTTGCTGCTTTTTGTCTTTTTTGTTTTGCTTTCTCTTTATGCTAATTATTTATTCATTATATTTAGTCTTAGGCCCTGTCAACACGTATCCGTTTTCATTTGAAAACGCAACTTTTTCTTTACGGATACGGCTTCCGTCCACACGTATCTAATGAAAACGATCAATGAAAAGGAAATTTTTCGAAAACACTCTCCAGAGTGGAACTTTTTGAAAACGCTGTTTTCCCGTGTACGTGTGGACAGACGAAAACGGAACTTTTCGAAAACGCTGAAGACACACTATCACTTCCAATCTACTCCGCGCAATATTAAAAACTTACTCAAGATGGCGGACGGACGCTTCCCTTTCTTGTCTTTTATGCTTTGGCTTCAGTTTCTAACATAATTGCTTGTTTTCAAGCAAATTTAGCTTTGTTAATTCCTCAAGCTGATTATTCCAGGAGGCGGCAGAACCGATTATCAGGTTACTTTCGCTACCGGTGTCAAGAGGCGGAAGGCTGGATCTCCCTTTAGTTTGACTTTGTTGAATGTATTATTTCGCGGGCTCATAATAGCGAACACGTATGCATTAAGCATGCGCAGTCGGGTAAGTTATCGTTTTCAAAACGATTCATCGTGTACGTGTGGGCGGGCGAAAACGATGCGAAAACGGTACGAGTGGACGCGACTTTTTCTGAAAAAGGAGAAAAAAAGTTGCGTTTTCAAACGAATACGGATACGTGTGGACAAGGCCTTAGGCTAAAGGGATAGGTTGACGGTTAAGCGCATGCAATCAAATTACTTCTTTCCAATTTATTATTAATTCTATCGGTTGGACACAGCATTAAGTATTAAGAGAGACGTTGTTTTTTTCTGTTGAGTTATCGTGAGAAATTTTTATCGTCAAGGAGAGTGGCGTGGGATAAATTAGCTATGCAAAATTTCTTCCTGGTATTCAACAACTGTCAGCAATGTTGGTTAAATTTGCTTCTTTGATGTAGTTGTTCCACTGTTGACATATTTACTCATGAAGGAAGATCTTACGTTAGAGGAGGTCAGTGGACACGCAATTGATGTCGTCGGTGCTGGCGTTGATACGGTAAGATTAATAATTGTAATAATAATGATGATAATGGTAATGATAATGATAATAACATTTCACCGAAGGAAATCGAAAAGAAAAGCAAGTACAAAGACCTAGGACTGGAAACTTAGATATTGTGGCAGATGGTTAAAAACATCAAGCAAGAATCAGGGAGAGCTACTGTGAAAGAGACCCATAAGATCTACATACTGGGATCTGTACGAATCCTCAGGAAGGTGCTTAGTGTGAACAGACTGATTGACTTGAGTGACTGATGCTTCAGGTGCATGGTTTGCGCCCCGCTGACGTACAAAAAGAACAATAGTAAAGACTGTGACAAAAGAGATAATATTAATAATAATAGTAATAATAATAATAATTAAGGTAATAATAACATTATTATTAATAATAAACATTTTGGGAGATATTACTAGTTTTTCGCACACTTTAAAACGTAAATTTGGTCCAAAGAAGATACAAAAAATCAAAAAAAAAAAACTTTCGTTTTGCAAATCAAAGACAACAAGCACGAACCTTTTCAGTTTCTGATCTGTTTCAAGAAACGCCAGTGACGCATATCACATTATTTTTAGACATACTATTTCTGGGTAGACTTTTAGACAGTTACAAAAAGCTTTTCATTTTTTATTTTCATTTATTGCGGGCGACAAGAGGAGCCTGCAATCCTAATCTCAGGTTGTTATTACCCATGCGTCGCATGTATGTAGCCAGCATTCGTTTGGACTTCCACTAAGAATGTATAAAATGCACAGAACGCACTTTGATCACACGCGTTTGGACTTTCTATCTCTCGTTATCTGATCACGCTTGTTTTGACCATCTGTCACGTGAAACTTACGCAAAGCAAGCAGCTGGAGCAAAAGCGTTTTGACCTTCGACCGTTGTCACCCGCATTCCGTAACCTTTGGTTACTTCTAGTTTATTTATTTATGCATTTATTTTTTACATTTACATAATGAGCAGTTAAATTCGAACTCAAGTAGACTGCTATTTAGTGCGGTTAATGAAAAAGAAAAAAACCAAAATAATAAATAATTTTTCGTCTTCTTTCTATGCAGACGTCATCTTCTACCCTTTGGTGGCTGTATAACTTAGCACGATTTCCTGAGGTCCAAGAAAAGCTCTATCAAGAGATAGAAAGTGTTTTGGGGAAAGATGATGACGTCACACCTCAGCATATCGCCAAACTACGCTATCTCAAGGCGTGCCTTAAGGAGTCCATGAGGTTAACTTAGAGAAGATTAATTTTGCAATTGCATATTCCTCACTAAGTATAATAGACAGGTTTAAGTAAAGTTTTACTTACGAGTTGATCGTACGCGTCTACGGAAAAGTTGAACAGGCTTTATTTTTTTTTTTGACGACTACCTTGCTCGCTTGCAATATTCAGCCAAATATATAACCATACTATGTACATTTTTTGAATGTTCAGTAGTTTAATTAACAATTATTCGCCGAAGGCGAATTAAATATTGTAGAAATTTAGCAATTATTGAATGAGGCTGAGTAGGATATGAAGAATTCTGCAGATCGAGGAGGGTGTTATCCACAGAGGCCGAAGGCGGAGGTGGATAACACCCTCCGAGATCTGCAGTATTTTCAAACATAGCTTATCATAGTTTTAATTTTTTTGTCAGCTTTAGCATCAATAATTGAAAAAAAACGTTTAAAGTTGAAATAACTCCCGTTTCTGAGAAGAAACACAGAGCTGTATTTGCCTCTGTCAGCTCACCGTGAATCAGAAAGTTTCTTTTGTCGCTTCTTGCAAATGCTGTCAACAGCGGCTACGATTGATTAACTTCTATTTTAAGACAAAATTGGTCTTGCGAGGAAATCCCAAGTTCACAAAACAGTGACAAAGCGGCCTCGTTTTCCTCTGTAGTGGTAATAACATTGCTTCGAGCGTATGAAAGTAAATCACTTCACAATAAATCACGCTGTTTAAACACCATGAAGTCTTTTCTTACCTTCAAAATCATCAACACTAGGGTATTCTTGTATTTTCAAAAAGTTCTTAGTCTGAAACTTGGCAGAACACCCAGTTCAATCAGGACAGCGATTTTGTTTTGCTTCATATGCATCGCCTAGCGCGGTGAATATTTAACAATTATTCCTCGAGCCCGAATGGACTATTGATGTGTTTCCTTACTTTTAAATGTTTTTTATCGATCTCTTAATGTTAAGTTACGTCTTCTTATCGGGAAATTGGTTCGGAAAATGAACAGCAATAGATTTATATCTCGCCCCATGGATCAGAAACTTATCCGTATTATTAGAATCAGCGCATTGACGTTTATGTCATCCACTGTTTCTTTTGACTTGATTTTTTTTATAACTCTATGTTATTTCTTGAATTGCCAGTGCCGTAGCCAGACCAAACGGCCAACCGAGGCAGGCGGGAGTTGCTAGGGGGGTTCGGGGGCATGCCCCCCCTCCCCGAGAAATTTTGAACTTTAGTCTCTCGGAAATGCGATTTGCAGCGTTTTCTGGGCCTTTCGGTAACTTTTTTTCGAGTTAATTTAAGTGGAATTTAAAAAGCAATAATCAGAAACAAGCTACATAATCTGGGTGACCGTTTACCTCGCCAATGGTTTTGATCAGTATTTGTTCAAAAAAAATTTGAGTTAACGTACGTAGCCCCTTGAGATCGATGATATGGTAATTTTTTCATAGTATATTGACTGAATTGCTGAATTCTTTGTGATATCATGATGCGTTAAAAATATCCGATGATCGCTTATGTAAAATAAAAATGATCGGCGAAATTCGTCAAAATTTTACCGAGGTGAGTGCCTCGGTTGGCCTCATACTAGCTACGCGCTGATTGCGAGGAGGTTTTGCCGGAATTTTGTATTGATATTGACGTTTTCTTTTTATGAGTATTTTACTGAAGTTTTGTGTGCAGCTTTTTAAAAGATTTTAATAAAGTATTTTGACATATTAATTATTATTATTATTATTATTGTTATTATAATTTTTATTATTATTATTATTATTTTAGACTCACTCCGAGTTCTACAGCGATTGCAAGGATTTTGGAAGAGGAGGTTGTTTTATCTGGATACCTTGTTCCAGCTCAGGTGAATCTTAGTACTTGGCCCTTACACATTCAAAAGTGTGATTACGCTCATTTGTTCTTGACTAATGCTTTTGTCTACCATCGAAGCAGGCGTCGAAGTGTGTTTCAGGGTTGCACATGCGTTCCTCGCACCACCAACCCACTAATGTGCAGGATAAGAAACACTCATGGTAAAAAACTTTCAATTCTTCATTAGCATAAATTTTTTTTCCAGACTCTCGTATTTATGGATTTATACGCCACGACACGTTCAGACAAGTACTTTAAAGACCCTTTGGAGTTCAAACCGGAGCGCTGGCTAAGAGAAAGTAAAGAGGTTCACCCCTTTTCTCATCTACAGTTTGGATTTGGGCCTCGTATGTGTGTTGGTAAGAAGAGATACTAGGGACTTTAAGATCCAACGACGCAACGGCAATGAGAACGTCGCTTAAAAAGTGAATTTGCGTTCTTTCAGTCTATATCGCAATTATTCCTACACACTCACTTTGTCAAATGTAGGCGACCCCTCCTGGAATTGAATTCCTAGGCACCACATCCAAGTACAGTAAGAGAAATAAAATTTCGTCGTTGCTTGTTTACGTCCTCGGTAAAACGCGAAATTAGGCATGTTCACGTCGTAGTCGTGCAAAAACGGGCAGAGAAATGTACAAAAGAGCATGGTGCACGTGCAAAGTTGTTGTTTTGCTAATCAAACCCATTGTTTTTTTGATGTTCTCGTTACCGTCCGCGTCTTTGGATCTTAAAGTCCCTAATTATTCGATATATTTTCTAATATGTTCTATATGGTCTAGTTGTAAGTGAGAGACTAATATAATTATCTTAAGTTCTGAAAAGAGAGCTGATATGAATCTTTAATCGGTGACAAATTTAGTAAAGACACTTTGTCCTAAAGGGCCTTTCTGACAAATGTAGCTTTCCCCTCCCCCCTTAAGTAATGTTGTGCCGCCGCTGTTTGAGAGAAACAATAAACACCCAAACTTTGAATCGGGGGAGGGGGGAGCAGAAAGGGGTGCGGATTGTTTTGATCTTCGAAGTAGTTTATTTAAGGACAGTGTCTCAACAATTTTATCGCCGATTGCAGGCTTGACTGATCACTGACTCTTGTCCCATTACGGTACTCAGACGGAATTATCATAAAATCACCAGCAGGATTTTTTTTCTAAGTCACTTTAACAACTTAGGAACTTTAAATTACAATTACACAAACACTAGTAAAAGAGTTACAAATATTCGTTACAACTACGATTAATACACACACGAAAATAACATGAGATCATTTTGGTTTTTACAGCTCTTTTTCTATATGACAATGATGACTAAAAACCAGTCTTGGAAAACTATCCATTTGCCCATTGTGTTTGCGGCGTTTGCTTGGCACTAATCGTATCTTCGTATCATCTTAACTAATCCCTGCCTTGTGGTTTAAAAAACTTACCAAAGTCGATAACCAAGTAAGGATTTCCTACAGAAATAATTTGCCACTCTCGTTTAGCAGTGTAGTGGTCGAACTTGACGTAGGTTCTGAAAAGGATTCGTTTTGCCAGCATCTTCCCGTTAAATTAAAGTAGATTTAACACTTGCCAGGAGTAATAAGAAATCTAGCCGTTTTGCTCATAGCTTCGCAAATGCAACCAGCGTTACACTTTAAAGGGGCAGAAACTTTAGCGAAATATTCACACGTAGACTACGAGTAGTCCCCCATTTTTCCTCAGGGATAGTAGAGCGAGCGAAACGCGAGCGCGCGTGAAAATTACCCCACGCGTGGGGTGATTTTCACGCGCGCTCGCGTTTCGCTCGCTCTACTATCCCTGAGGAAAAATGGGGGACTACTCGTAGTCTAATTCACACGCGACAGTCGCGAAAACCTCAGTAAATCTAACAAATGAAACAAGATACTGAGAGAAAAAAAAAGGCTTCACTGATTGTTTCCGGCAGGCGGTGACAACTAATGTGCGAGATTAGAAGACCTCCTGGTCAGAATTTTTTTTGTAGCCTAAGCCCGTCATGTAAACTACTCTGGGTTGCTTTCGCCCATGTAGTAAGCCGTGACTTCACTATTAAAGCGTGGCTCACATTTCCCTTAGGTCGTCGCGTGGCTGAGTTGGAGATGTGTGCTAATGTGTAAGGTTAGTACTTTTTGATTTGCATTTTTTCAAGCCGTTTGCTTAGTTTTTTTTTTTTAATATTTGCTTATCCTAGCTCCGACACCTCGACGTAACGCGACGCGGGAAAAATAGATCAGGCGACTAGATATTTAAAGTAAGAAGTTCGTTACACAACTTATACATTTGCAAAGTGTCACCACCGGACACACGTCAAAGCTTATTAGCCGCATATGGAATACAAATTGTAAGTCTATTTGCCTGTCATCGCTTCCACCGAAAAATATTTGTGTAGTAACCTTTTTTTGTAATATTAATTGAATTTTCAGTTGACTTCTACTACTACAAGTGCAAAATAAATTACTCGACAATCATTCAGTGGTGAAATCTTCAACTTAAGGTAGCCTTTCAATCACAGGAACGAAACCCTTTTTAAATGTTAACAATCACCTCCTAACGCAAACAGGGAGACCGTTCTGTAAAGTTTTGTTTGCGTCAAATACACGTATAAACAAAAAAATGTATAAGGTGTAATCAATAACAACAACAAAGACGACTTAAAACAACAAATCTTCCTTCTTCTCCTCCCCTTCCTTCTTCGTCCCGTCCTTGTTTGCTTTTCTTACTGTTTGTTCCTCTTTTTTGCAGTTACTTCAGAGATTTCGCCTCGAGTATCACCATGAGCCAGTAGAATTGCGTCAAAAGTTTTTCTCCGTCCCAGACAAACCGGTTAAGATTAAGTTTGTCGACCGTTCTTGAATGTCAGCTCGGCTTCTATGTTTTGCTGTCAGGCATGTGTTATCGCACATGGAGAAACGCGTTAAGGGCAGTTTCCAGTAACTTCTAGCAACACAAGTGATATTGATTAATCATTTGCTAGTAATTTTGATCAGCTAGAGCAAAAAAGCCAGCATAAAAAATTATAATACCAATGAACGAATTTTATTTACACGTACTTCCTGTGGAAATTTTACAGCGCTTTCGCAATAACAGGCGGCGAGTCCAAACGATGGTCTTTTTTTGCTCATTTTGCAAGTCTGTTTCTGTCTCTCCACGTGCTATTCGATGTAAAATGTACATTGAATGTTTCTTTAAGCGTAAATTGTGCTGTTTTAGTTACTGAGCAAGACACATACTTTCAAATAGAGGAAAACGTTAACTGTTCCCTGTAATTTCATCGCTTAGGCTTTTATTAGGCACCATGTTTTATTTCCTCCATAAGACAACATCTTTGCGTATTTTTAACGATACTTTTCCTTCTCATAATGTACCGGAAAAGTTGGTAAAAGTCTAAATAAAAAATTTGTAATAGGCTAGACGATGGACTGATGTGACAAGTCCACCCGAAGTATGGATTCTCCCAAGTACTTTGTTTTGTTATTGTCTTTTTTTTTTAGTAACTGTTCTGAACCAGTCCCCTTTTATTTAGCAAGTATTCATTGATCCTTAGACAAATTCTGGCAAAGTATGTTGTCGGTCCCTTGTAGCCGGCATCAAGGCAGACAGTTCAAATCGTTTTTTAATCTTATATTATAACAAAAAACGTTAAAGCAGTATCAAAATCTGGAAAATTTAATTGTAACTTATGTTACGTCAAAAGGATGATAGTGTTTTTTTTTACACTACATAGATAAAACTAAAAGTAAACTAAACTAAACGTCAAGATTGCCGCAATTTTGAATAAGGTCATAGGTATTAGTGTATTGGTTCGTAATGTGGAATCCATGCCACCTTTACAACAGTGAAATGGCACTGCTTGGTTTTCCAAAGGAAGCTCTCCATATGAAGATCTCCAGATTTTAAAACAAAAGAAGAAAAATGCAAACACCAGAAGGCGAAATCCCAAGGAGGCATCATGATAGCTCGCGCGTATATGTAGAAAAGTACTTACAGCTGAAATATACAGTCAGTATACCAGAAAACATCTTGATTTCCTTAATCAGAGGCCGCATGGAATCGTTGGGTAATGGTGACGTTTCTATTCACGCCCGCAAGTGAGAGATGGTTGGGATGATGTAAAACAGAAAACCCCCAAAGGGACTGCTTTAAGTTGATTTTGTGGCACTTATTTTTCAGTCATACTTCGATACTCTTTAGCGTTACGTGTTATCAATTTTGAAAGCTATGGACCAAAAAGACACCTGTTAGGCGCACAAGAAGTTTTGAGGTGGAGAGTTTGCCAGACAGGAGTTTATCATTCACAAATCTTTGACTGGAAACAATTTGTCAGACACACTTTCTCTCCACAAACAAGCCAGAAGAGTGAATAAATGGCTAACTTATCACTGGCAGAACGATGGACGATTACATAAATTCGCCGACAAACTGTGCTGACGTATTGTCTACTCACAGATGTCCTTGTATAGATTTTTTTAAAAGTATTTTCTCAATAGTTCAAAAAAGGACTGGAAAACTTGAGCGTGAATTGATCAAATCTTTTTAATTTTAAGGTTTACTTTCCAGCTAATAAAATGAATTGTATGTAAAAAGTAACAGAGAAATAGGGAAAAATTCCAACTTCTAATTTATTTAGATCTTTTCTTAGGGTTTAATAGAATTAATAAAATATTATCGAAACTGAGAATGTTTTGATCAAAGCTTCGAAAAGCTGTGTCCATGGAACTTTGTGTTTTTATATCTTTACCTCACCCTAGGAATTAAAAATGGCAGCTTCTTGGCATCTTAGTGTTTTTAACCTCTACTGATGTGAGTTCGGTCGTTGCTAGACGTCTTGCTAGTCGACCTTACAGTCAAACCAGGTCAAGCGTTCCCGTCGCTAACGAACTAATGAATTCATTCACGGAAAAATGATTTCGTTTGTTGATTCAATAATCCATTCATAAAATGAACAATCCGATAGTCATATTTAGCCTCGATTCCATAATCGAATGTTGATTCGATTACTGTTTTTTGAAAAATTACACTTTCCACAAGTTGACCTCAGAATTTTGTTTTTTCCTCTTTTTTTTCTGAGAGTCGAGGGCTGGCGAGTTCTGAAGTTCAAACCCAAACAAACTGTTACATGTACGCCAGTTTGCTGCCAGTAATCAGTGCAACAGACCTAGGCCTGACCTCTTAGAAAACACGACGGTCAAACTGAGGTCAGTGTATGTGCGGTGATTGGTGGATTTCGATCCTCGGCCTTTGTCAGTTTCTTTGCGTTTGCGGTCTGTCTATTCTAGCTGTTATTTTGATTAAAGGCAATTAAAACGCAATCGTAAACGGCAGGAAAAGGGAAGCAAATACGATTGAACACAACAGACAAGAATAAAGAACAGGTAGATTTTGTTCATAAACCAAATCAACATTTGATTATTGAATCGAGGTACAATTTGACTGTTGGATTATTCATTTTATGAATGGATTATTGAATCAACAAACGAAATCATTTTCCCATTAATGAATTCATTAGTTTGTTAGCGACGGGAACGCTTGACCTGGTTTGACTGTAATTGTGGTAAAATATTACAACATCCTCTTGCGTCATTTATTTTATGACAGGAAACAAGATAAGTACTTCATATATGACTTACCCAAGTCAATTGAATGACCGCACGCAAGGTTTTTGTAGGCTCAACGCATTCAGTGAGTCCTCTCTCAGAGTTAAGAAAATCAATTCCCAGCAAAGTGCTTCGATCGTAAACTGTCCTGCGACATCCCACCACATTCTAATCTAAATGTTGTCGCCAAGCAGCATCGCTTTCCGCAGGAATCTCCTCGATTTTACAAAACCATTTCATAAACCTTTTTTAACGCTCTTCTGGAGGTCACAGAGAACAGAGGCGAAGCAGAAAGAAAGCCCAGAAACGTTCGATGGAGTGCGATCTTTTGACGAAATTCCAGAACCTAATCGCTGGAAGTTCATGTACGATCTTTGTACAAAGACCGGGGACTTTGCCAAAGCTTACAAACTAACTGAGCGCTTGTTCCACGAGCTTGGCCCCCTTTACAAAGAAAATTTGATGCTTTGGCCGATCGCGGCTGTGCACGTTCAAGACCTAGACGATTTTGAGAAGGTTTTTAGGGCAGAAGGAAAATATCCGCGTAGGCTGATCTTCGATTTTTTAGTCGAGCACCGCAAACGAGGGAATCATTTCCCAGGCATAACTCAAGTGTAAGTAAACAAATCATTGATTGCTTGTAAACAGGTATAATTCGGATTTAGAATAATTGTACCAGTTAGTGTTAGTGCAAGTTCGCAACAGCGCCGCATTGACTCCAAGATCAAGGACCTGAAAGAAAGACTATGAAATCAATCCGTTCTTTAGTAACCGGCCTTTCTGTCTAGTTCTGTTCTGGTTTGAGAAGTCATGTTGTGTAATCATTATCAATCTAAAATTTAATTCAGCGAACAACCACCTTTAGTCAGCTTTAGTGGAATCATTGAGGCGGAAACGGCTTTGACAGCTCTTTCCCCTCTGTGATTAGCTTTTCGTTATTTTACAGTATGAAGTTTGATTGTTTGGTTGTCGTTGTTGTTGTTGTTGTTGTTGTTGTTGTTTTTGCTTCATTTTCATTGGACGGATAGAGGATAATTTTTAGGTCGATCTCATGCAAACCTCCTCATCATAGCGTGACGAGGCAGACAGTTACCGACTACATTATTTGAAGATCACGTTACGAGTGTTTAGAGAGTCGGTGTCGCGTTACAAGCAACCGTTCGTATGAGAAATAAAATACTATAAAAGTCTCAACGGTTAATTGCAACGCGACACCGACTCTCTTGTGAGAAAGTTAATTTACATAACAGACTCGTAACGTGAGCTTGGGACGCCTGTGTTTAAAACTGCATTATTGAAAAATCCTGGTTAAGAGTTTTCGGTCCATGGGGAGTTTTGGCTCGTCACGCTATCCTTCCTGAATTGTTATTTAAACGCTCACGCAAAATACGTAATCATACATGTTCGACTTCGAAATTTATTTGCACGTGTATCAAAAGAGGATCGAAATTCTGGCGAATGCAATTTGAGCATTTTGAAAAACTCACGAGTGCAAATAAACTCCAAAATGAAAGAGAAAAGTCTTACCCTTAATAGTATAAATGATAAACTTTACCTGCCTGGCTTCGCTCGCAGCCGGCAAGACGTAGTTGTTTGACTTTACCATCAAAACTTGCTTTGAGGAGCTGAATTATCTGTCCCTAATTACAGAAATGGTATATCCTTTCACTTTTAAATACCTGTCCGAAGCTGTCATCGTAACTTTGAAACTCTCGGGCTCGTAGTTGGTGCAGAAGTACTGGAGCGGTTTGTTGAGGGCTGCAGACTCGTGACTCTGATCTCAGTTTGCTCGGAAACTCCTTCCTCTTTTCTTGATTTTTTCCACACGTCAACTGAAAATAAGGTCTTCTCGACAGTGTTCTCATTTTTTTTAATTCTTCAATGACATTTTCTGCCGCGACAGAACTAAAATCGGCTTTGCACGCCGGCCATTCTTCCACTCGCAAACTTCAAGGTAGCCGCCAGCAGATTGCGGCACCTGGTTGGTTCTTATTTATTTCTATCGTTTACTAGCCAATCACAGTGCTCCATTCTCTGAGAAATTTGCATTCCATTTTTGCATTGTGTTTACTAAAATTTGTATTGCTGTCAGTCAAGCAGATGCAAGAAATTATTGTTTCATGTATACCATTAGTGTCATAAAAAGGCGAGAGAAGTGTTTGCGACACTGAACTACACAAAGACGGCGGATCCGGGATAAGCTAATGAGCTTTACCTTCTTCCCCTTCCCTTCCCACCCATTTGTATCGAATAAAAAAAATTGCTACAGATCAGGCCGGTATCTCGCTCCCCGCCCCATACATTTTTGGCGTTGGGTAAATGCAATAAAACTATCCCATTTTTTCTTTAAAATATTAAGATACATTCTTTGTATGGCAAATCCATTTATTTTGCTATGAAATTCAACAGTCATATTGGCCCCTACCCCCGGGCACGTGACAAACGATCCGACCATGACAACTAAAAACCCGAAAGATGCTGGACCAATGCTCAGGGAGGTGGGGCCGGGGTGCCGTAGGAACGCTTGGAATTGCAGAGCCATAAACAGGCAGAAGCTAGTTGATATTGAACAATTCTTGCAAGGACCATTTGGACAAACAGCGGCGAGGGAAAGCTTGATCTTATCGTAGATCACGATCAGCAATATAAAATAACACTTAAAATTGAAGGCAAGGCTGATCGGAAAGCTAAGGTTTACAAATTTATTTGCCCAATATTTCGACTAGACAAAACTAGTCTTCACCAGGGGCTGGAAAAGCCAAGTGAGAATAGAATAAACGGTCACGGTATATAAAAAGAATTAAATACAAAAATAAAAAATAAAATGTGATTTGTGGAGGAATACAATGGACAAAAACTTGTATAAAGAGGTTTAATACATAAAAATATATGTCAATAGATTAAATTTCATCTCTTCTGTTTATCCCATAGGGTTCAAGTGGTTTGCCTTTAGATATTAAAAATCCTTCGCGGGCCTTACGGATACCGTCCCTGTCTGAATTAATTAAAGCTAGTTGACATAGTCTTCGCCATTTGTCAACCTCAAAAAAAGTGCAGAAAATAACACATGCCATTATTGCTTTCTTTGACCTCTTCGAGGTGTTCGATCTGGTCAGTAGAGACGGCCTACCCACCGAAAGTGCAAAGCACGATCGATCGAATCCAGCCAGCACACTTATAGAAAAGGCCAGTGCTGTTCAACGGTAGTAGCTAGTTCCTCCTAGCGCTACAGTAATTGCAGCGGGCAGCTGCGTCTTAGCTCACACACTCTTAACAATTTTCATTCTGCTCGTGAAACACGCCCTCGGCACTCAGTGCAACAGAGGGAATCTACCAGCGGACCAGCTCAAAAAGCAGGTTTTTCAATCTCGCTTGCTTCAGAGCTTAAACAATGGAACAAAGTGGTTTAACCGTATAGGGGACGTGTTGTTTGTAGCAACTGTTGCGAACTACACGCTGCAGGATCCGGAACTGCGGTTTCTGATGGATCGCTTTTCCCAGCCGGACTCGGATTGATTATCAGTTTGAGAAAGCCGGCGAGCTTGCTGAAACAGGATACATTGGCACCACCAGTCATCGTCCATCAGTGACGACTACATACTCGATGTCGTCCATTAACACACATAGCACTGCACGACCATAAGTGACAACTTCCCCTTATACTTGAAGATCGAAAAGGAGATCGATAAAGCAGCTACAACTCTCGCTCGCCTCACGAGTCGTATCTGAACTAACCCCAAACTGACAATGAAAAAAAAGGTTGACAATGTAAAACGCCCGCATTATCAACTCGCTACGCGCTATACAGTAGCGAGACACAGACTACACATGCCAGACACATGGGAAGACTCAGCACGAAATTCCTACCCAGAGAGCAAAAATAAACGCACTGGACTTAACAAATACAGCAAGTTACCATTTTAGATGATGTAAGGTCTTTTGCTTGTCTTGTCCCCTTGCCTGACTGACCGGCCAACTGCAAAGGGCCCATTGTGGAAATTGGAACTCGCAGGAGCCATAACCTCAGGTTGTGTCAAGAAAACAAAATGGAGAACAGTTTACTTTTATTTATTGTTCTCCTACGACTACAAGACTTTGGAACACGTGTTCGATGCATTTTAGTTGAAATGAACTAATAATTGACAAATTTTCAACGAGATTGTCACTAGGCTTCTTTTTGTTAATCTTGCATCTTAGGATTTCTCAAGACTGTTTCATTCCTTTATGTATTTAATGGTAAATGTTCGTTCACTTATGTTGCGAGTCAGTGTTGCTTGTCGTTGTGTTATTGAAAGTATTTTAATTCTTAGTGGTAAATAAAACTCTTAACAATATTTTAACAGAGATGGGGAAGAATGGCACAGATTGCGGCAAAACATTGCTCCGAAACTCATGCGCCCAAAAATTGTGGAGGAAAACATTCTAAACTTTAATGCTGTAAGTAAGGACGCTGTAGCAAGGTTTGTCAGACTAAAAGAAGCTTGCGAGTAAGATGATCACATTCCTGACTTGGACAAGGAACTTAATCGATGGTCTTTAGAAGGTAAGCTTATTATACCAGTGTTTGGAGCAGGTGCTTACAGCTGTGGATGAAATTTGCATTCAGCACTAAGTGTTAATTTGGGGAGCAAGGGATGGCGCAGTGGTGAGAGCGCTCGCCTCCCACCAATGTGGCCCGGGTTCAAATCCCGACTTCGACGCCTTATGTGGGCTGAGTTTGTTGTTGGTTCTCTCCTTTGCTCCGAGAGGTTTTTCTCCGGGTACTCCGGTTTTCCCCTCTCCTTTCCAAATTCCAATTCGATCAGGAATAGGGTAGACGAAGAACAACTCTGTGGATGTGCTACCTCAAGAGACTATACAGGGGACAGAGAGGGCATCCCCCATATACACCCTATTCCATAGGTAATTCGTCTCGAGTTATTTTTAACACCACAGATCTCAAGGGGGACTAGACAACAGCCAATCACATAGCGCGAATGTGTTCCGCGTGGATGACCCACGCCGAGAGCCACGCGTCCTTCACGAAATGACGCAGAACAAAATGGGGGAAGACGCGGAGAGCGATTTTGCTATTCCTTTTGTCGAAGAAAACGACTACAGCGAGATTTCTGCGAAAGCTGTGTCAGCGAAACCGAAATTAAAAAAGAATCGCCCTTCCTCTCTTGTATAGAGCTAACAGCAGAGCAGGGAAATCCTTAACACACTGAATATTCTCTCAGGATCATTTATAATTTGCAGTTTGAAGAGAGCAATTTCTGGTTTGATGTTTATTTTTTTCAGTCTTTATAGCGATTATTCCTACCCACTTACTTTGCCAATTATAGGCGAACCCTCCTAAAGCTGAATTTCAAGGGACCATATTCAAGCTCAGAAAGAGAAATAAAATTTCGTCGTTGCTTATTTACGTCCTCCATAAAACGCGAAATTAGGCATTTTCACGTCGTAGTCGTGCAAAAACGGGAAAGAAATGAACAAAAAAGTGTATTGCACGTGCGAAGTTGTTGTTTTGCTAATTAAACCTATTATTTTTTTGACGTTCTAGTTGTCGTCCGCGTCGTTGGATCTTAAACTCCCTAAATTATACAAGCGACCGGTTTCAATAGACCGGCGAAATTTCTCATTTTATTAAAGCACTGAGGTTACGACAACTTCGAGTTAAACTGATTTCACGGGTTGTCAAAGAGTCCAGCGATTCCTTCTTCCCAGGTGAGCGCCGACTCATTTCGCTTCAATATCCAGGAATGCTCTCGATCTTTTTACGCTTTCATTACCTCTCGCCCGACATGTTTTGCACGGCGTTTGGTCATGCGAAACCTCCACGAAACATCCACGCCTCGCGCGAGGTAACTTTATCCCGATTCTAAAAATAACTCGAGACGAATTACCTATGGAATAGGGTGTATATGGGGGATGCCCTCTCTGTCCCCTTTATAGTCTCTTGGCTACCTCCAAATCATTATTATTATTATTATTATTATTATTATTATTATTAATGCTCTTTGAAATGATAAACCGTTGCAGGTGTTGGTACTTTAGCATTTGATACTCGTCTCGGGTTATATGAAGATCCTCCGCCTCAGTTAGCACTGGAATTCACCGAGGCAGTTGACAGCCTCCTCGAACTTGCCCAACAACTTGTATTCAATATACTTAGCAGAATTGCGCGTCAGTATGTAGACACACCAACCTTTAAGAAGTTTCTTAAAAACGCTGACACCATACTGGAAATCGGACATGGTTTTGTGGAAAAGAAGATGAGGGAATTGAGAGAAATGGCAGAAAATGAAATCGACCCGGGCAACGCTCAGGGTGGGTAAACATATTTAGGCCACCAAATCTTTAACTTAAAACAGTAAACTGATCCTTACGGCAGGAAGAGTGATAGAAAAAATAAATAAAGAAAACAAAAATATAGTAGTGAATTATATTTGCCGGACTTTTCGGTTTGCAACCCAACCTTTTTTTATAGCCCTCGTTGAAGGTTTGAGTTGCAAACCGAAATATCAGGCAAATATAATTCACCACGTTATTTTTATTTTTTTTTCCTTTATTTTTTCTGTCACTCTTATTGGCGTAGTGATCAAGTTTAGTTTTTTAAGTTTAAAATTTGGTACTCAAGATTTTACTGATCCAGGTCTACTAAAGATCCGGTGGTAGCCTGTTCCAGGCGTTCAGATAGTAGAGCGCGGCGGTCAGTGGGGAGCGAGTTAAATTGTACACCGGGAGAACGGGGGGGAGAACAGGGGGGCCATTTCCCCCTTTCCCCCTCTAGTCTTCCCTCGTTTTTTTTTCCTTCGTGAATTTTTCTCCCGCGCTCTACTAGCTGAACGCCTGGAACAGGCTACTCCGGTGGACCCACACTGGTTTGTCGTTGTGGTTTTGCCTTCACAAGTGTTTCTAATACACATTAAGGGCATGTTATTTTAAGGGGTGTATCATGGCTTTCTAGTGTATTCCAGCAAACGTACCTCCCAAGCAGTATATCAAACGTTACAAACAACCAAAATATGAACTTTGAAAAACTGTCAGGGTAAAAATTCATTAAAACCCACAACTGCAACCCAATTTAAAATTTTTCAAGTTTCCACCCATGCCTCCTTTTCTGTTTGCTGTGTTTTGCGTTATACCTTCTTTTAATGTTATTCTGAGCAGTTATTTTAATGGTTCACTCAATTTGGTGGCTGTCCCTACTGTCTGAATTTTGATAAAGAACTGAAAGAACATTGTTACTGTCGCAGACGTGTTTTTTTTAGGGCGAAGGAAGAAACTATTTGTTTTCTCTGCCAATCCTGTAAGGCTTTGTAAGTGCTCCGTATACCGGATAAAAACGGCAAGTTTGATTGTTGCCTTATGGTGAGGGCTTGAACGAGTGTAGCGCTTCAATTATTTTATGTAAGAACACTAACTAAAGCATTTTGCATACCTTCCAGTTCATGTAAGATACAATCAACGAACTTTAATTTTGACTTTAGTTGTTCCACTGTTGACATATTTACTCATGAAGGAAGACCTTACTCTGGAGGAGGTCAGTGGACTTGCGATTGATGTTGTCGGTGCTGGTGTTGATACAGTAAGATCAATGATATCAGTAATAATAATAATAACCGTCATCATCATCATCATCATCATGATAATAATGATGGAAACTTTATTTGTGTTTTTGAATGTACAATTGTAAATCTCGCTACGTATAGGCAATTCACAAATGTTGGTTGAGATTGGATTATTCAAAAACAAAAGAAAGAAAAAAGAAAAGAAAAGAAATCAAAATTGCATTAAGTCTGGGCTATCCCAATTCCTATTTCTACAACAAAAGATGTATTATGTTGCTCTAATGGCCATATTTATCATTTACTTGATTATATAAAGTTGCTGCTTTTTGTCCATGCCAATGTCATTCATCATGTCTAAGAACGTGGAGCATTCAGCGGAGAAAACGCCAAGGCAGCTCATGGAGAGATTTACAAATTTCACAAATCTGTAATTTCTACTCATTTCTTTGATCAAGTTCAGGTATTTTTCTTTTTTAAGCACTGCATTGTTATTAAGGTTAGATCTGATTACGAAAAGAAGATCTGGACGACAAATTTCACCAGTTATTATTGAGGGATTCAAAAAACATTAACATCTGCATAGAGTGAAGAGTGAACATTAATTACGGGTTGAAGTGACTTGTCTCCAGGTAAAGCGATCAAAGTACTGTTGACAACCAGCGACAACATGAAGGAGTGATTCAGGATTAAGGCAAAAGGAGCAATCAGGACTTTGTGATAATCCCCATCCATTTGACATCCTAGTGAAAGACAAAGAGAAAGAGAAAACTGCGAGACCTGAGGCGGGAGTTGAAACGGATCTGGAAATTTCGCAGAGTAACTGTGATGCCTGCAAATCATAATTGGTGCATTAATTAGGGACTGTCTCGAAAGACATAGAAAAGTGATTAACAGAGATAGGTGTCACATGTCGTTTGGAATCATTGCAGAAAGCGTGCTTACTGGGTACAGAATCCTTCGTAAAGTCCTGGACACCTAAGGTCACGGGCAGTGACTTGATGTTTAAGGAAGACTCCAGCAAGTCATCCAAAAGTTGTGTTTAATGAGGATAATTTTAATAATACTAATAATAAATCTGAATCCTGGTAAAATCCTAGACAACGGCCATTTTGAAGTGCAAAACAGTTCCCACGCGACGCCATGTCTAATCAGTAATATTTATCTCCTGTATTTGTAATGAGCTAACATTGAGTAGACTCTCGGACAGTTGCAGGGAATTTTTTTTTAATTAATTATTTATGTTTTAATGAACAATAGGATTCCAACATAAGCTGACTGCGAAAAAGTGTGGTTTTAAATTATTTAGAAGTTTTGTCTTTTTTTCTGTGCAGACATCGAATACTACTTTGTGGTGGTTGTATAATTTAGCACGATTCCCGGAGGTCCAAGAAAAGCTTTATCAAGATTTAGAAAGTGTTTTGGGCAACGATGAGGAGGTCACACCTGAGCATCTCACCAAACTACCCTATCTTAAGGCGTGTCTTAAGGAGTCCATGAGGTAAAAAGGCCATTGCATATCATTTACTAGGTATAAAAAGTTTAATTACTAGACAGTATAAGTTTAGTACAACTTGACAGCAAGCGTCTACGGAAAAGGTGAACAGTTTTGAACGTTTTGTGACCGTTTGGCGTTTTCTCATGATTCAACCAATTATATGTCCAATTTTCTTCTTTTTTTTTTTTTCATGTGATAACTATATCATGTGCATTGGCCCCATAATGAACCAAAAAGGAAAATGTATTATCTGATTCAGTGGCTAGACCTTTATTAATCGAGGAGTTCAGGAAGAGAAGATAGAAGAACGTTTCAAAAGTCATATCAACTGAAGATATACGAAGGGACTCAAGAGTTAATATCTCTTATACTGCAAAGCGTGTGTATTTGTATAGGTAATAGCATGATTTGTAGAATTTGACATAAAATACCAATATTTCGGGTTTTTAAAAATTTCACGAGCCGTTATCCATTACATTTCCACAGTCTTAGCCCGTATCTGCCTTCACCCACAAAAGGTTTGTAATTTTCCTTTAAGATGAAATACCACTGCTCTAAGCCAATCAAATTGCAGAAATTTCTGATGTAGTAGTATAAAAGTAAGAAGTGAACGGGTTTTAAAAAATTTGCTTATCCATTACATTTCCACAGTCTTAGCCCTATCTGCCTTCACCCTTTGTAGCCAGGACACTCACGGAAAAGGGTCGTGTGTGCACTCACAATAAAAAAGCTTTATTGTTATTTTTTTGTTTAGACTGACTCCAAGTATTACAGTCCTTGCAAGGTTTTTGGACGAGGATGTCGTTTTATCCGGATACCAAGTTCCAGCTAAAGTGAGTGTTAGGTACTTCCAATAAAACGGCAGCATGCATCTTGTTCCCCATCTTGGTATTCTCTAGCCTCCCACGCACGCAGGTGTCTCAGTTAGGGGAGTTCGTATTTCGTCCCTCCCCACAAACGCCTGGTTAAGCGAGAACAACATTCTTTTCCCATTATTATTCGCGTGGTAAGTAACCAATCAACAGTTTTGAAATAAAGTGTCGGCAGGCTAAACACGACTCATAAGCTCGTGCTAGTGTAAAAATATCACCCTAGAGTTACCTTTTTCCTTCTTTTCTTTCCTTCGCTAAGGTAATGCAGTGCACGGAGTATTCTAAAATCTGACTAAATCTTACTTTTGCCGCTCTGAGTCTAACATATATTAGAGGTCATAAAGCTTTCCCAGTGTTTCATGCAGATCGAGTAATTATCGGGTTACCCTGCGATCAAGGTCAACCTTCCAGAATTTGGAAGGTACAATGTGATTGGCTTAGCTTGGGAAAGGAATGTTGTTCTCGGTTGCGAAGGCGTTTGTGGGGAGGGACGAAATACGAGCTCCCCTAAAAACGCCTGCGTGGGAGCTTTGCTAAGCATTACCTGAATGGATTCGCTGAGATTCATACAAATAAAGCAGAAATTAAACCCTTTAAAATGCTTGGCGACTAAAATACATTACTATTGACATTTTGCTACTATTTCTGCACAACAAATACGAAAGGCTCGCTTGTGGAGTGATTTGTTTTGTTTTAGGTTTTGTTCTTTCATTTGACATGCCGGAATGTTATTTTACGACGTTTTCCCTTCAACCAAAACGTCCGGTTTGAATTTTCGGCAATTTCCATTAGCGAAAGGAACAGCGGTATTTTTAAAAATTTCCAAAAAAGAGGACAACCTCGCAAGGTATACCCAAATTTCTAATTTTTTTCACGGAATTTTTCTTCCATTCAACTTTGCTCCTGGAGTTTCTACAATTGTTTTGTTGAAGAATGGTTCGCATTTCGGAAGTCAAAGAAACTTTTCGGGGAAATTGCTGTACTATTTGCCTCTGTTTCCAAATTTTTGAAAGGTTTGGTTGAATGGAATGCGCCCTCTGTTTTACAATTTGACTGGGACGAGAGGCAATTGTGCCTTTTTGTCCTACACAATTCGCACGCTTATTTATGCTGTCATCCCTGAGTTCTTCGCCTTACCCAGAAATGTGCAGCATAAGTTCTTAAGAAACACTCAATTTAGAATCCCTTCAAGTTCATATTGTTATAAATTATTTGCTCAGACGCTCGTATTGATGGACTTGTACGCTGCAACTCGGTCAGAGAAATACTTCAAAGATCCTTTGGAGTTCAAACCAGAGCGCTGGCTTAGAGAAAGTAAAGAGGTTCATTCCTTTTCTCACCTGCAGTTTGCATTTGGACCTCGTATGTGTCTTGGTAAGAAGATAATTATGCAGTTCGATTGTGTCAACGATTTATAAGGTTATTTATACACAATAGTTATTTAGCCGTAAGTTACAAGCAAATGCTAGCCAAGCAAGTTTGCAGAATTTTCCAGTAACTGATTCTACAAAAAAAAAGTATAAAAGCGCGTCAAATATGAACCTAGTATATGGCCTCGCTCTCCATGAGTTCTGCGTAGCTCAGCTGATAGAGCGCCCGCCTGGTGTTTGGCGGGGAGGTCATAGGTTCGATCAAAGGAGGATTATGCAGTCTTTCCATGATACATTTCGCCGTAGTATATTATCGAATTGGTTTTTGACTTCATCACTTTAAAGACAGATGCATTGAGTAAACAACTCCATCAAGCTCCCGTCTTTGGGGAGGATACAGACGTGATTTATTTGCACTCTTGCGATTTGAATAGCCAGTTCGACTTTACAGGACCTTCTTTGTAGTTTTTACGGCTGAGTGTGTTCTTCGGTCATTTCATTTTTGTCAGTTCTTTGGTAGACAGGTGTTAGTAAGCTCTAATAAGCTTAAGCTTATGTTACCCACTTTGTTAGCGGCTAACAAGCAAATTTTGGATAAATTCGACGGCGTGAGATTTCTATTCATTGTACAGGTTATTGAGAAAATTCAAAAGAAAGCTCAGTTTTCTTTTTGTGGGCAAAGGGAAGCTTTTAATTCTGAAATTGTTCTTCGAGGAATTCAACCTTATTTTCTTCACGGCGGAGCGCTTAGCCTGTTTTGAAATGCAACCAAGGTAGCGACGTTTAGGAGGATTCTGAGGTACATTTTTACTCTATGGTCAAGGAAAAAGACGTTTTTAAAAGGGAATTTATGTATTTATAGGTCGTCGTGTGGCTGAGTTGGAGATGTATGTGCTAATCTGCAAGGTCAGTAGTCAAACCATCATTAATTTTCTTGAACTTAACACTTCTCTGAAGACTGCTCCCACTCTTCCCCCTTTCTGTAAGTTTCGTCTACGTCAATTGCACATATCGACAAAACATTGTATAAGATGTAATCAACATTAACAAAAACAAGTTGATATTCATCAAAAAGTAAGAACAGTACGCTTACCAGATAATAGCACTTCTGTAGCTAATGAAGGTGGGTGCAACAAAGACTTAGCTTGTAAAGTTTCTGTGTCAGTTGTGACATTCAGATGCACTTTCTTGGGGATTGGAATTTTTCCTCCTTCTCCTCCTCTTTCTCCTCCTCGTCATCATCAGTCCCTCCTAACCTTTCTCCTTTATGTCTTCTCTTACTTGCCATTTCTCTTTGTTGCAGTTACTTCGGAGGTTTCGCTTAGAGTATCATCACGGGCCATTGGAATTGCGTCAAAAGCTGTTCACTGTCCCAGACAAACCCGTTAAGATCAAGTTTGTCGACCGCTCTTGAGTGCTGGTCGGTTTCTTGGTTCCCTTGCTTAGCCTTAGGTTATCGCAAGGGGAAAATGCGACAAAGGCAATTCCCTGCAGGTTCTCAAACCACGAGTAATATCGATTAATCCTCTCTAGTTTATTTTAAACAACCAGAGAAAACAAGCCTATCATAAAAGACACCGAAGGAATTTTATTCAAACCCACCTCATGCAATTTTGTTTTTTTAACCAGCCTTTTGCAGCAGTTGTTTGTTTATTCCTTACACACATTCTTTATTGAATTCGCCACGGTGACCCAACACGGTGACAGGGGATGAAACAGGACTTATGTCTCAACTGATAATAACCCCATTATCCACCCAGCCCATGAAAAGTTGTACCACTCCACCCGAGTCTACACCCCATTCTCTTTACGAACAGCAGTGTGGGTTCTTTTACGTCACACAAGAATCAGAACAGTGAAAGAGCTGTGAGACGGGGCCTACGGTTTTTCCCCCTTCTCCGAGAAAAATTGCAAAATTTGGTGGCTTGCAATAGTTACGAGAATTGAAGTCATAACCGACATGAGCACAAATAGTCCAAGTCGTTTTTAAAGCAAAAAATCAAGAAAAAAAATCATATAAGCAGTACCAAAAAAACATTAGTTAAAAAATATTTTACGACACAATAGGGGTTTAGTTTTCTTCTTAGATAAAACTTTACTTTGGTCAACACTGTCAAGATTGTGACGTGACAGATATAAAGTAACGTTCTTGGGCTAGGGTTTATTTTTTTAATTTTTATTTCCACGTAAATTTCAAATAAAAGCATTATGTTATTGTATCATATTTACATATGTTTTCAAATTAAAAGACCAAAAAAATTATATTTTTTTGTTCAAATAAAGAAATATTTAGGAATAATATACTACTACGTACATCTACACATTCGCCAGTGTCTTGCCAAACAGTTGCAAAAGTACGTTGCAGGGGGGACCCCATACTCCAACAGCACCTGGTACTTTTTTCGTATACCAATGATCCACCGATTTATGACATCGCATCCGGTTGAAAAGTTGCCCGATACGTTCGATTAAAGAAATATTAAGAAACTGTATGTTACGGCATTCACCATTGTCTTGCCGCAACGTCCTCTTTTATTGTACCGATGGAGCTTTTCAGAGCACGACATAGCCTTCACGTCCGAAGATGAGACCAAAATAAAGGACAACGCAAGAGAGAAAATGAACGAGTAAATGAATAGAAGAGAGGGGAAGAAATGGCTACATGTGTATCACCCAAGTAGAGTATCAGTACCTCCTAACAACCAAAACACTTGCTCCAATTATGACTACATGTACTAGTGAATACATACTCATAGTACAAAACTAAATGAAACGAACAGTTATGTAAATATATTTTTCTTTCACGGATTGCAATCATTTTTTACCAAACTTGTAATTTTGGTATCCGTAAAGTTGAACTGATACGGCGCGCTAAATTTACCAATCTCAGCGAACTTACCAACTGGGGATGTGATGAAGAGTTTAGCCACGATGATAGCGAAGGCAACGAAAACGTCACTAGTAAAGTGAGTTCCTCGCTCTTTAAACCGTCCCTTCGTCGTGGAACACGCCTGAAGGTTTCCGGTAACCTTAAATCTCCTAGCGAACAATGGATAAATCAAAACTACATGAACTAAACTCCTAAAGTCCCCTTAACGATGCTCGAGTTACCAAGGAAAATGCCAAATGTCCTGCACTTACAGACTACTAATTCCAAGTACCCTTTACTGGCTTATGCTCCACAGTCGCGCAAACACCGTCTGTGTTCCTTGATGGCATTTGTTGGACCTACATCTCACAGAAGTGGCAATGGAGCTTTTTTCCTCTTTTTCATCGTTAAGTTTATCCACCACATGGTAGCCATTATTTCCATCGTTATCACCACCTTGTTTGTTCTCGCCCGCCCGGACATTAATGGATCCACTTCCTTGATCTGCGCCGGACGTTCTTTTATCCTCAGCTTGGGACCAGACGCTGAAAGTGCTGTCACCTTGGGCCGCCTTCAGGTCACCATTACTTTGTTTCCTTTCCCCAAGAGTGTCATCTTGGTCGGCGTCAGATGTAGTAGAAATTTCCATTTCTCCGATTTCTAGCTGGTTATCTATTGTATTTGAGCTTTCAAATCCACTTATATCTCCTGGCAAACCGACAAGAGGAAGAATCAGGGCCAAGCAGCATGAAAACGACCACTGTGGGTTTTTTCGCCATTCCATGATATACTCATAAAGGTGCCATATGTACTGAACTGAGAAAAGAAGAGCACAATAAGTAACTAGTTTCTTATTCTAGTTTCCCTCTTGACTAAGTCGTCACAAGTACAGATATTTCTTTGGATGCCGTCGAAGTAGCTGCAACTGTTCAACTACATTTAGTCCTAGGGTAGCATGCGTTTTGGATGTATTTAAAACAAATTAAGATAGGTTGTGGTCGCTATATTTTGAATGGAATTGGTCTCAAGAGCTCTAGCTAGATCAAAGTTCTTTTCAACAACATAATTTTCTTACAAGCTAGCAGCCCAATCACCAACGTGTTCGCTGCCAGAACCAATATATTGAACATAACGGTTTCCACGTACGATTCCGCCGCTGCAGGCAGGTTCTCTGCGGGAATTTTGCTGATACTCCCAACACCCAAATTGAAAACAGTAACACCAATGGATGCTGTCATCAATAGGTTGTCAAATGCGTCTTGTATAGGGCGATTCCAGGCAAACATGATTCCGTACATACCAGCAATGACCCATGCCAGGCCAATGTAGGATCTGCTTTCTTGTCCCACGAGGATCAGGCCAGATGTGACGATTACTTTACGAGACATTTCTATTATTTCCCAATACCAAGATGCACTATTGTAGTTTTCGTAAAGAAATTGCATTCCCTTCATCATTTCGTCGCTTAATCCTTGATCGGCATATGTTAGCGATTGTTTTGCTCTTCGTTTTCTCCAGAGAAAGATGAATGCGGTTGTGGGAAGGGCAAAAATGTAGGCGACCGAAATATAGGCAATTATTATGAATTTGTTGTACCGGTTATCAAAACACTGTATGCTATAATCTGCTTTCAAGTACTTCAAGCAAAACCCTTCTTTTTCGTCTTCACAAAGTTCTCGGCAGGCAATCGGCAAGACAGTTGCTGTCTTAGAGCACGTGCTGAGGTAAGTTACGTACAAAAGGAAAAACAAATTCTTATAAAATGCTTCTTTGAGATTCGAGATTTTCTTTGACTTCTGCTCGTCTTCCAAGATACTTTTATTCAAACTAATCACTTTACACACGCTGATGGCGACGCCCGCGAACACAGTAACTGTAGCATTTATTAACATTACTGAAAACAAATTAGCGAATGCATCTGCCCGCAGTCCGGTGATAACACAGTGAACTGGTGCCATCTCAAGTATGTTGAACTGAAGTATTTCTGAATACTTGCTGATGACCCGTATGGACTCTGGCCATTCGATGTACGAAAAAGCTTCAAGCAAACCGTAGGTGACTTGATAAAACCCAATTACGATCTTAATTTTGGATAAGAAGATATCTATTAGAGAGGTTTTTACTTCGCTCTCCTGGCCATTCCTGTTGGTTTTCCAAACACAAGCTGCGATGATTATCAACAAAATAGCAGCAATGGCAAACAGCTGTGCTGCTATCAACTTCTTAGATGGACATTCTTGACACTGGTGTAACTTCTTATAGTGTCCTTTTGTACATACACTACAAAGTGGGCCTTTGTATCCATCTTCGCAAGTGGAATCCATGCCACCTTTACAAGACTTTTCCTCTGGGCACTTGTATGGAGTTGGCAAAGGAAGTGAATATTGCACCTTCTCTTTGTCCAAGGCCGGCGAAGATGACAAGAGATTGTCTATAAAACTTTGGTACTTATCTTTGTGAGTATTGTTTCTCCATTTCCACCAGTAACCAGATTTTAAAGTGGCAAACTCATTCTGGCATTCAAGACCATTTCCACATTTTTGACATTTGCCAAACATATCAGTCCGATAATAACCTTTCAAGCATGAACAAGCACGCAGTCCAGCAAACAGATCACTGTCTGTACCTATGAATGATTAAGAAACATTCAAGATTTTGAATAAGAGACAATCAACCAAAAAAAACAAACTATAAAACTAGTACACTGAAATTTCATCGAGTCCGAACTACATTATGATATACGAATAAGCCAGACACTGTGGTGAGGTCTGAAAAACGAAGCTAAATTTAAGCAGTTTCAATGAATCTGAATTCTGAAGGTTGGAAGAAAGACGTTTTTGAGGGTTCGATACTAGCTTCTTAAATGACCAGTATGTCCTTACCAAAACACTTGATACCCAACTTTTTTCGCGATGGTGTTTGCTTTTTTTTTTCTGAGCGAGTAAATAACAATACCTTATTCACTCCAAATGGTCAACGAAGAAAAGAAAAGAAACTATGAGCAAATATTGCTCAGTCAGTTATATTAATTGTTATTTACCTAAAGGACAGGTCTTACAATCTTGCACTTGTGTCCCAGGTGCTTTATCATACGCTACGAAGGAACCATTTGGGCATTTCTTACCAGTCGTTCCCACATAGCCTACATCGTCACAGTAAAACCCTCCTAAACAGCAAAATAAGGGACACAGTATGAGTGGCTCAAGAATCATCAAGTCGTTATGCCAGGAGGACCAATGCAACACAAAAGAGGGGCTTAATAAACTAAAACAATGTTGTTGGAGAAGCTTCTTTTTTTTTGGCGATCAAAAGACTTCTTATCCAGATGCGCGGAGGAACAATAATAATGCAAAACTATACAATACCTGGAGGGCATGATATGCATCCTTCCGAACCTTGAGAAGAAGAGTTGGAAAATGTTCCCACCGGGCACGGAAGGAAAAACCAAAAGTCTTCATTTTGTTCTGGTGTTCGTGTGAATCCCGATGCCTCTAGAGCAGAAATCCAGACTTTTCCATTTTGAGATTTGGGAAGAGGCACAGCGATAGACTCTGTTTCAGACAAGTATGGATTTCTAAAAACAATGTTACAAGAAAAGAAAAGAAAAAATCAAGACAGCAAAAGTTGTGAATCCTTCTGTTCAAAACTATGCTAGATGAAAGAAATCTGTATTCAAAACAATGGTAGTCTTTACACTAGAGACAAAATAAGCTAAGAAATATTTCAAGACAAGTAAATGTTAAATTCTTCAAGTAAAAGAAAGCTTCACACACAACCTATCTTTTTTACTTCAGGTTTACTTAAGCCTATTTTCCCACGCAACATAATTAAGATTGATTGACATGCTTCGCCTTTCCTTTTTCAAGTCACTTGAAACTTTCTTGAATCGTTTCAACTTTCCGACTTTAATGTTAAGTAAAACTTAGTAACTTAACAGCCTCGTCTAAAGACAAACAATGGTATGCTTTTTATTTTTCAGTTTTAACGGTTTTTGGCGGAAAAATGACGTCACAAGTTTGACAGCAAAATTTCAATTTTAACTTATGATACATCAAATAAATAATTTTTAAAGAGCATGACACGATAAAATAATTTTAAAATACAAGGATTATTAAGCTCTGACGTCATTTGTGTCCATCGTGAGTAGTTTCATCTAAATGACTTACTACACACAAGCGTGAAGGAGAGTCTTGCTTTGGCCATTTTCAAATTTCCTCAAGATTAAAAACATTTGCTTATAAGTGTTTGTTATACTGACAGATAAATTGTGCAGCGAATCTCGTTGTTAACTGAATATTTCAGAGTTCGAAGTATTCTATTATCCATTAACCTGAAAAGATCAGAAATGAAACAAATTGATACCTGAAATAAGGGAGATGAAAAAAAGGGCTAAGGTAAATTTTAAGATCTTGAAAATATAAAATTTAAGTTAAAACGACCGTTTCATTTTTAGCTATTGTTCGTCCCCCAGTTTAGAGCAACCATAGAAAGGAAGGTATATACTCTTCGCTTTTGCCCAAGATAGCAATAACATTCAAAAGTGTAAACCAGAAAATATGTTTTTGCAATTGATATGACATAGATTCAGATCAAATTTGCTGGGGGCAAATATAAGGCAAAGAACTGCTGACTAGAGGGAAATCAGGGAAATCATTAGACCAATGTAGGTAAGAATGCCAGTATTTTCACGCAGTCGTTTTTGACCACTGTCAATTGTAATTGTGATGACAATAGTTGTCATTTATTTTTTTCTATTTTCTTTAAAAAATAACAGTAATTTTCTGGTAGTTCTACAATGCATCACCGTATATTAAATACTTTAAAAAATACGTTACAGTATGGAATCGAGTCCACTGAGACCGACGAAAGAATCTAAGCTCACTGTTTTTATCTTCGTGCGAAGCAAATATCTGGTAAGAAAAAACATATAATGATGTTCATACGAAAAACGGTATTCATGCTTCGTCTAACGACCAGGTAACACGTGTAGGTTTTTATAGTCCACGCAATCAGAAGCTGATATCTTACATTGCCATTGGCTTATCGTCAGGGAAGCTAATGTTGAATGCTTCTGGCTCGATTGCCCGGATGGGATTATCTGAAAACATCCTACAGGGATAATTTAGTGAGAAAAGGAAGAAAATTAATATGATTAGTAAATTAGTTCCAGAGTCAGTCCAGACGATGCCCACGCTTTGCCTCGACTTTTTGTTTGCCTTTGTGTTTAAGTTTAATTTTCCTAACTGTTGTCGAAGATTTTTTAGAGATTTATTGTACAGTGGAACCCCGCCTTACAGCCACCTCGATAATACCGTCACCTCGTTATTGCGGCCATTGTTTTTCGCCGCCAGGCAAAACGACCATACATTTTCTTGTAAAAAAAAAAACCCTCGTTAATACGGTCACCCGTACGGCCAGACTTTTTGGCCCATCAGGTGACCGTATTAACGGGGTCCCACTGTAGTTGAAAATTAGTTATTTCAGTTCTACATTGTAACTTATCTTACACGACCCCACAAGCATAGTGCTTTAAGATTTTTAGTTCGTGTTGAAATAAAGGATATGGTGCTGCAGGAATTCACTTCATTTAATTGTAGTTGTAATTGTTTCTCTTTCACCCCATGATTATCTTACTCCCTTCTTTTAGCTGCATTGCATGACGTTTGATATTGTAATAATTAACCCTTAGTGGTTTCTTGAGTAATATTCACGTGAGGCGACGACCGCTTTTCTTTCTTTTTTGAAGACAGGTCCGCGACGCTAAAATAGAATGTTAAACAGAACATTTAAAAATAGTTCACGTGACTCGTCGACCTAATATGTTCAGCATTACGTCATGATTGGTCACTATATATTATGCTAAAAATTAATGGAAACTCTTTTATCAGCAAATTTGGAGGAAGTAGATTTGTGGATTTCTTGCAAGAAATTATTTAAGGTTTATTGCCTGTCTCAAGTAAAATGTTCATAAGAAGCTGACTAGCCTGTTCGCAGGCCCTCTATTTTCTCTTCAAAGTCCGTCGAGCACGCGTTATAAAAAATAAAATTAAAAGCGCGGGAGATTTTTTGATCGTTTCGAAAAGAACGAAAAGAAAAATAAAACAACGTGTGTGTACAGGCTAGAAGCTGACCACTCTAGAGTATATTTTCTTTAAAAAAATAATGCATATATATTTTTTAAAAACTGAAATAATCATAACACGCAAAGAAATTATGTGTTTCGTGTGTTTTAAGTATATGGCAGAATGTAGGTCGCATGACCGCTTTAATTAAATGTTTTACTCACATAACGGAGGACACAAAAGAATAGTCAATCTGAGAACGAGCTGGATAAACCAGATTAAAGGCTCGACGTGGAATCATCTCCAAGCCATTAGCACTTATAATTCTAAAACAGTGATAATATTTATGTAATTGAACAAAAGATAGCTTACAGCTTGGGGAAGTAACCAAGTGTATAACGACCTAGCCTGTGTAGCAGTCGTTTACGTTTCTATTTAACAAAACAGGATAAGCGTAGGAGACGTGCGCGGGCGAACAAAAAGGTAGGAGTGAGGAGGAGGGGGGCAGGAGAGGAAAGGAAACGCCTGCCATTGCGCCCAAACATTTTATCGAAAGCCGTTTGTTAACGAACAGGATGCACTTTCCTTTCCTTTCCCCACCCTTTCCCCGCCAACAATGTTTGCTCCTTTTCAATGCATGCCCTCACCCGTCTCCTGCGCTGTTTTCGCTCGGCTAAACGAAAAAGTACAGGATTGCTACATGTATGCATGTTAATTACGGCCCTGAGCTATATAAGTTTTGACGTCCATTCAGAAGTGTTGTGACGTGTCGTTGCTATAGTTGCCAGATACGACGTTTTGGTAGAGATATTTTCAGCAAAAGTATAGAATGTTGTAACATGGCTGTAAAATAAAACATTTTTGAATTCTTTTTCCTTTTGTAACAAGGATCAGTTCTATGTCACTTTTAATTCTTTAGATGACACAGCTAAAAAATGGCGAGTGCCTGAAGAGTACAGGAATCGAATGTAAGGGTGCATTTAGCATTCAGATTTCAAATTTCATGACCTGTCTTTGATTTGATCGATTGAGTTATAAACTACAGGTGTATTTTTTTTAAATAGTTTATAAAAATGTTGTATCAGGATAGCATACCGAGTTCAATATTTCTTAATTCATCCTACTGGACTCGCAAAGACAGGGAATGCTAGATGGTCATATTCTAAGTATGAGAAAAGATGTTTCTTTCTTCTTTTTCGAGCATAAGAAACACAGGTAATTAACAGCATCGATAACACATCCTCAAGACTACCAGTTCTGAAGTAGCTGGTATCTGTTTAAAATCTTAAGGGCAACTATAGCGAAAACGTTGATTGTCATTTGTACATACAGATACCAGAGATTACGGTTCCATTCAAAAGTCTTCTCTGATATTCGTGATATGTTATTGTTCCTCAGATATCTATTTAATAAAAGATAGGTATTGTCATTTTGAAGGATAATTTAACGTTATTGGTTGCAATGGATAAACATAATCACAAGAAAGGAATAGAATAGTGTTTGAAAGCTCTTTTCCCACGATATTGGCATTTAGATGGTCAATTAAGAAAGATTCAAAGAGCATAAATATGATCCAAAATGTTAATATATGATTTTTAGCAACTTACGTCATTTCTTAAAATATGCAATAGAAAATTGTCACACAACTCTAAAATGTGACGCCAAACAATTTTTAAACGATTGGCTCCTTAAAAAAATTTGTGAATGTCAGCACTAACTTCTTTCAATTATTTGTGTAATTAATTTTGTTGTTAATGTTTTTTACTTCACGGAAAATGAAAGGAAATTAACAAAATTAATACCATTTTTCTAATACGAAAGAATATGGATGGCTCAATGAATAGAGCGTTTTCACTCACGTGACCAGCATCTATGCAAATTTATTGAAACAAAAGGAAGCGTTTGCATAAGAAAAGAGTTCAACTCCTACAGGATTGGTTTGGAACACCAACATGGCCGCCGTTTTATTGTTTTGGAACACCAATATGGCTGTCGTGACGTCATGTGAAAACGCTCTATAGATGGATGGATGGATGGATGGAAGGAAGGCCGGATGGGTGGATGGATGGACAAATACGTTTTGCAAGTACATACAGGTAAAATAGATTTGTCATTCCTTTAAACACTCCATCAGGCAGTGAAGAGATAGCGTTAGAGGTCAAATCCCTGCGAGTGATCAATGAAACAACTATTAGGGGTGTACAGTTTGGAACTAAATATTCCGCCTCCCAAAAACTTTTTTTCAACGTTGACTGGGGAACGTTGATCAAATAAAATACTGGCATAAATCGAAGGAGGAAGTATCCTCACACTCGAGCTATGTAACGCACCCTAAAGGTTATTCATTTAAAAACAAAAACGACAGTGGAAAGACTTTGTTATTACTTACAGTATGGTTAGAACTGAAAGTTGGTCAAACAATCCGTTAGGGAGCACAGTAATGGCATTTGAAGACAGGTCTCTACAAGAAAAAGTTTACACTGTACTGACAGATGGGCACCAAGCGAGGATTAGTCTAACTAGGAAGCCAAGTTGCTATATAAAAGTCCTGGAAACAAGCTAACCCTAATCCGACCTAGCTTTTTTTTAAAACTCCTGTGACGGGCGGGGGGGGGGCGAATCCGGAGGCCCTCCCCCTATACCTTTAAAACCGCTCATAATACTGGCACCAAAATTGCATAAAATAATGTACTCACTATGTCCAACATCTACGTATAACTTGATTGACTTAATGACGTAATTGACGTTATTATGACGTCATATTATCAAAATCAAATTTCCCGTCAAAATAGTCATAATTCGAAAAATACTTGAATAGTATTCTGTCAAATAAAATCAACCAATTTGTTAACATTTAAATAATATTTAATAATAGTAGTGTCGTCACGATGACGTCATTTATTATCAACAATGGAAGAGGAACCATCCTCCATCTTGGATCCTCCATTTTGAATTAATTAAATGTATTGTATTTTACTTAAAACCCGTATAAAATTTGGTCTGTGTATATAAGGATGCTTGCGAAGCAAATTAATGCAAGGTGTGAAAAAAACATCCGTTTCTCCTCGCTCCTCGCCGCTTGGGACGTTTCGCGAGAAGGAACGTCTGCGACTCAGCGACAGAAATTCCATACTGATGACGTAAATCAATGTTTACATCATAAATTTGGTAGGCATGGGGTTCCAAATGCAAATATGTTCAATTTTACATTTCTCCTGGTCGATTTCGGTAAAGTGTTGTGTTCATTTGCGAACAAGTTCCAGCAAAATTCAAATGCTTCTTCTTTTTGACCTTTTTTTTTACAGATTCATTGCGTTTATATTTGACCTTTGCGGCCTTTTGTCTTATGTTTGTCATTCGTAAACAATGGCTAGAACAACATAACTACTCCGACGTCCAATCAGCGCTTATGATCAGATTCCGGACAGATTTTACGTCATCAGTATGGAATTTCTGTCGCTTAGTCGCAGACGTTCCTCCTCGCAAAAACGTCCCCCAGCGGCGATGAACGAGGAGAAGCGTCTGTTTTCGCAGGCTATCGAAAACTAACTTAGCATATGCCATTTGATCATGTTTTTCCCGCGGCCTGGATTAAATCCGCAGTTATGATGAATTTGATAAAATAATACTAAATTAAATCTATTATAAAATTCAATAAGCCAAAATGGCAGTTTTGAAAAACATTGCTGTCAAACTCGGTTGCCATGGTTGAGACAATGTTGACGTACAAATTTGAGGAAAATTGCCATGTTTGGTGGTCAAAACTTGAACGGTTTTGAAGTTATTTAACTTTTTAAAGCAAGATGGAGAGTAGGGGCTCCAAAAACCCCCGGTCTTAACAGGGTTAAAAGGGTCGGAGAAAATCAGTAACAGGGTTAAAAGGGTCGGAGAAAATCAGTAACCCCTCTGATTCTTTTACAAAGTGATGACAAAAAGTGTGCCAGTCTCTTGCCCAGGATGTTTTGCGTTCGATGATATTTACTCCTCACGTACAACAGCACGACAGTTCTATTTTGTTTGTTAGAAAAGTATGTGCGGTTCCAGCAGACGCGTTTAATAAAGCAATACATACAATGTTTCCAAGAGTGTAAGGTTTGAAAATACTCCTCCTGGAAGCTCTGTTAAAGCGTTTTTGGACAAATGTCTGCAAAAATAAGTAACGAATATAAACAAAACAATTAACTTCCCAAAGAGATACGATATACAAGATTTACTAAGACCTGGTTTTATGGAGAAAACTTGTGCCGGGTAGCAGGGTCACTCGTCTACCCCAGCTCGGATCTGCCTTTCGTTTGCAAGGGTCAATGCGAAATCGCGCAAGTTTTTAAACAGGAAAGTGTTAAAGTAAACTATTTTCTACCACAACCGTTTTAGTTTGACCACAATTTGGACTTGTGCAACATGATTGATTTGTCTAACTCGATTGACTTAATACAACAGCTATAATCAATCACTGAAGAGATTCAGAAAAGCGCATTATAAATGCCAAAACAGTGTAAAAATTTGTACGGACCCGTGTATCAGTAAACAGTACTGTAATCTGCAACAGAATTTGCACGGTTCCTTGTAAAAGGGCGCGAATAAATGAAAATTCGTCCACCCAAAAATTTGTCGTGACCCGTGGAAATGAGATTACTCATGATGAATTTTATTTATTCAGCAAAAAACGTTTGGAACGGATTGTTAAAGAAGTAAATTGTCGTTGAAATAATGGTTTCAGACGTTTTACTTATATCATAAGTAAAACAGCTGGCGATGTTGATCCATTATTTCAGTCGATACTCAATGAGTTGTTTAAGATTCGCGATCGAGAAAACCTATTTTGATCTTATCTTGATTTTATCGGTCTCTCATGCGGGGTACCCTGGATACCAGAGGTTTTTCTCGCGTGCGGCGGGAATTTTCGGTGTTGGCCGAAGGCCGACACATCTTCGGCCGTAGGCCGAGGAAACCGCGCTTGAAAAGTCTCTGGCACCCAGGGTACATGCGGGGCGACGTAACAGCTTGTTCACTCATGATGGCAATAAATAGGTTTATGCTTTGCAAAAATTCATCTGTTCAACTTTTCAATTCGGATTCGTCTTATGATATAAGTAAAACGTCTGAAACGTTCTTTTTTTGTCCAGTGCTTGATAAAATCTCAGTTTTTTCAACAATAAGAGGAGCCCAGATGTTTGTTAACCTTTTAACCTGACGCCGCTGTGAAAGAAACAGAACGGGAACGCCAATTGACGACGGGAAAACGCGCGGAAAGGACTAAACGCGACTTTCGTTGCCAATCTGCCGCTCTGCCATTGGTCAAGCCAGTTGTTTGATTTGCACGCCCCGTCGTCAACTGACGTTCCCATTCTGTTGCTAAATCAGCTTTGTCATTGCTTGACATTTGCTTCAATGAAAACTCCTCTGCTCATTTATGAGAAAAGAAATAATGCGAAATAAAATAACCAAAACAAGAAACGAACACGATTTCAACGGCTTCATACGAACACGAAAGTATCAAAGTATTAAACTCGATAAGAAATTTTAAAACTAAATTAAAATATCTTGGGGGCCAGCCTGCATGGCGACCAGGCGTGAAAAGTTAGTCGCCACAGAATAAAATCTAGTCGCTTGGCGACCCCACGGGTCGGAAAGTCGAGCCCTGACTTTTAAATTTATTTTTGCATTAAAATCGTTGGGCAGTTTTTCTATGGATTTGCATGTGTTGTCTCGTCATTTCGATTGATTGGATGCGATAAATCGGCCCACCGAGAAAAAAAAATGCTCAGAAAAGTTTGCCTGTGATTAATTTTAAGTTTCAAGCGGTGATTTGATTTGCTTTGAAGTTAGTAAAAACATATAAAACAATTATTCAAAACGTATTAAAAACAAGTGGAACATCTGTTTTGCAACACTGCAATACCCAGTCAAAAGTAGTAGTGTGTTCAGAAATGTTTCATCGTAGTTCAGTTAACTGCTTATCAAAGTCTTACTACACTGTATCAACGGAAAGTCTCTAAACGTTGGTCAGTCCGTGTCGTGGCTCTGGTCGGATCAGTTCTAGAAAACCGATTCTACTGGCATCCTGAAATATCAAACGCTTTCAAGGTGCGATAAGAGTTTTGTTTGCTTCCAACACCAGAAACCCATAAAGAACAACAAATGGACTGGTCGCATCTCACACTTTGCATTTTAAACGCGAACTTGTCTTACACCGCCACCATCTTGAACACTGTAGCAATCTACGCGATCATGAAAAGTTCGTCCTTGTCAAGAAATTTTAAGACATTGCTACTGAGCCTGGCTGTTTCTGATCTTGGTGTTGGTTTACTAGCTCAGCCAATGTTTGTTGCATATCTTGCTATGGACACAACACAAAAGAATGAAACCAATGACACTTATGATGTTATATATACCGCGACTCTTATCCCGACGAATTTTTTCCTTTGCGCGTCGCTTTTTAGTGTCACGGCGCTGTGTGCAGACAGATTTTTGGCCATTAGCCTTCACCTCAGATACCAGTCACTTGTGACATACAAGCGCCTTGGTGCTGCCGTGATCTCAATTTGGGTGATAAGTGCACTTATTTCAGTGATAAGGTTATTCATCCCAAAAAATATCATGTACGTAATTTTCGTCGTCTTTACGTCTGCCTGTATTATAAATGTAACTTCCCTGAGCGTTAAACTTTACCTAACTCTAAGACGACACATAAACCAAATTCAAGTCCAGCAATTAGCACGGACTGGCCTAGGCGAAATTGTTCAGGGGAAAAGGAAATCTGCAATGGCATCACTTTTCGTGTATCTGGTTTTCATAGTTTGCTACTTGCCAAATATTTGTACCTTATTTGTTATCGCTGCCATTTCGGAACCAAGGATCGATGTAGAGCATTTGTGGTTTTACACTATAACGCTGTCGTTTCTTAATTCAACCCTTAATCCACTGATCTACTGTTGGAAGATGAAACAGTTACGAACAACTATGATGAGAAAACTACGAGATGTGTTTTCAAGTCACACCCAACGAAACCTTCGCGACGATTGATAAAGACTCTCAAGACAAACAGGTGTCTTTTTTAGACTAGTGGTCACGCTTGGGGAAGTACGTTAACGTTATTCAAGTTACAAATAAAAATACGGTAGACTTTTCATAACATGAGCAGATGATAATGTACAGTAAACAGCCGTGAAAAATCTTTAGCTTGATTGTTAATTAGTTAAGCCATTTAGTTACATTTGAGTAAAAAGGGCGGGGTTTCGTCTCAAATTACAACTAAATAGAACTAGAATGACATGTGTTATACATACAAGTAACGCAGATTTGTCAGATCCACAAATACACCCTCTGGTAACAACGATATCTTGTTAGACGACAAATCCCTATGAACAAATCGCCAACATTTATGCATGAACGCAATACTTCAAGGGCACCCAACGACTTCAGATTAAGTGTCTCAGATGGTTTTCTCTATGCTCTAGAGGCAGTTTTGGCTAATTTAGAGCTGACCTAAAAGCTATTTATCTGTGTGGATGTCTTAAGAGAAATTTGGTTGTCTCGAAAGTTTTAGGTGGATTTTTCTCTAATCCAAAACTATTAGTTACTCTGAAGGGTCTGTAGAGTTAGGGAGCACGAATCATAATAGATTTTTTTGGATATATTTTTTGCAATTAGCACAGCATTTAATCGTTTCAATCTATGTCCATCCTTGTCATCTGTTGCATCAAACGAAGGAAACAGTTTCAATACCTAAATATAGTCTTTAAAAACAAAACTAGGTCATTGTCGTTTGAATTCAGGTGGTGCAAAAAAAATTACCTTTTTATATAGCAAATAGTGTGACGAAGCACCTTTAAAGGGAAAGGTATTAGCAACGAGTGTAATAAATTGATTATCATAAGGTCTCCATGATTTTACACTTACAGTAAGAACAATTTGCCAAGGTTAGCAAAAAGTCTTTCTGGCAAC